CCCAATCCCAAATGGACCAAGCTGACCAAGAGAACATGAGAATGAAGGCCCAAAACAAGGAAATGGACTGCGTAGGAGCCTAAGGATAAGGAAAAGCTTTGGGAGGCTCGGGAATTGGAGGGGGACACATCATTATATTATAACAATTTATAAGGTAAGATTTGATACTCTCCGAGTCCCCTTTCCGGCTAGGCACCTCCTGCTGCTACTGCTCATTCTATCGTCATTTTCGGCTTCGTTGCCGCCGCCACCCCCTTTCAGCACGCTTCCAAGTATTTGGTATTCCTGTTGCGCATGATGACACAAACAAGGTGTGTATGGGGATTGACATGCTCATCTCCAATTACCATTAAATAAAATAGGCCCAAAGCCAACCTGACATGTGGAATCTCATTTCTGCCTTGCATGCCCCATACCATATGTCTCTCCGTGTCCTCCTATTAGCCATTACTAATTTTATTTCGGAGGTGCCTGTCTCTTTCACCCATGACTTTACGCCTTTCGCACTCCCCTCCTTGCTCTGTGTTTAGTGAGAAGAAAGAGAAGGACTCGCAAGAAATTTCACAGAAATTCTGTCGCCTAACTTCATATTATACCCCTTTCCATGCATTCCAGAACTCTGACGTTGACTGCAAATTTCTATTTTAGAAAATTAGAGATATTTATATTTTCTCCATTAATTTTTTTTAATCAAAATATCATCAGTGTATAGTAATTTTTTAGCCCTTAAAGCCCCTTTATTCATAACATGAACATCCAAGGGTGACAAAGGAAAATGATTGAATAGGATACTCGCACGGCCACGTCCGCATCTCATAACCCTATCTCCTTCTTTTAATAATAAATTTTGCAATAAAAATTCACCCTGTCTCATTATTATTAACAACTTTTTTTTCTTCGTATTTTAATTAAATAAACGAATAATAAATACAAAAATAATCATGTCTAATTGTAATGGGGAAAACCGTAGTTATTTCGTCACTTATATACATTATAAAAAATGCGTTTGGCTAGTTTTGACTTTCGAATTCATGGAACAGCTGCCATTGACTATTGGCATAACTAAAGACAAGGGGAAAAAAATCAAGTAGATTGTATGAAGGATCTTCTAGAGGCACGTGATTAATCGATTCATTGAGATGGATTCTTATACACGTTGGTTACTATATCAAGGACTAGAAGCTGATACAATTTTACATTTCAGTAGTTACTTTGTACTCAGACAATTTTTTTGTTTTTGACCAAAAGTACTCAGACAATTAAAAACATGGAATTATGTCACAAGTTTCAAAATATTTAACAAAAAAATGAAACCAGTAACGTTATCAGACCTTCTAGAAAGTAATTTTCTGTAAATATTTAATTTTATACCTTCTTTTATATTCATATATACCCAAGCAAAATGATTAATTTGCCCACTTTAATGCCATGAACCGGACACTTCCCAGCTCTTCGTCTGGCTTTATTTCGTAATTTTAGCATATTTGCATTCAGGCCAAAAAAAAAAATGCATCGCATCTTTTATTTATTTATTTTTTTGGCTTGAACTTTGTCTATTAATTAAAAAAATGGTAAACTGGTAAGTTGATTACGACCAACCCTTGTCCCATTGTATTATGGTTTCTTCGAGAAAAAAGAAGACGAGAAAAAAAACAAACTACATTCCATCACATGAGGGAGAATATCAAGACATTTGTTATTATTTTTTTCCCATATAATCTGCCCACTTAAATGAAAAAAAGACACTGCGAAAGTCTACTTGAAATTCTTTAATTTTATATAAAATCTTATTTTCATCTTATAATTATATAAAGTGTTTTTTTTCAAGTCATGCAACTCCAATATTGTTAAGAAAATAATGTTAACAAAACATTAACTAATATTAACATATTATATTTAATTTATTAAAACAATAATAATTGACAGAGGAATCATCACTTGACATTAACAATATTAGAATTAAAGTATTGAAGGTATACTTCATAAAATTAAATGAAAAAACTGACATATTGTATAAAATTAGAGGGGGAAAAATGCATTTTTGCAAAAAAAAAAAAAACTCACGTAAGGAAAAAAAAACTAATTGATCTACCTGTATTTTAAAATGTTTACCAAGTTGATGCATGTATTTTATAAATAATAATTCGACTTGGTTTATGGTTATTGCTAATTAATATTGAACGGGAAAATACTACATAATTGTACTCATTGTTAAAATTATAAAGTCATATTTATTTTGAAAAAAAAAACACTCTAAAGTATAATGTATTTTAAAAGAAATATATAATATTTTCCTAGTCCTAAATATAAAACTCATTTTGTAATATAATTTATACTATAAAATAAGTTTTATGTTTTAGGACTAGCGGAGTATTAAGATAAGATCTACATTTCTTACTAAAATGTATTTTCTCTAGCCCTTATTATAAGTTTTAAATAACTAATTCACGAATAACAAATAATTAATTAAAAATAATAAATATGTTAGAAATATATTTTTATTTTTAAATATGCCGTTATAATAAATAAGAAAAAAGATAAAATAGAATATATGGAAAAATATGATAAGAGAGAAATAATTAAGAGTAACATTGGAAAAAAAATATATTAAATATTAAGACAAACTCAAATTGAAACTTATAAAATCGATCATACTTTTTTTTGAATTTGAAGCTTATAAATAGGGGTTAAAGAAAGGATGTTGTTAAACATTTAATTCTGGGCATGTGTGAAATAGATTTTGATTAGGAGAGGCAAGACCCACATTACATTCTGAAATGGTTCGACTCTTGGCTATCGGCTCATGTGCGCTGAAAAAGAAAAAAGGATTAATGTTTTGGCGAAGAAATGAAAAATAAGTGGTAATATCTTTAATTTACATTTTAAAATTTGTGGGTCCAAAATTTCTTTTTATTTGGCCCCACCGCGTAATTTTCTCATCCCAAAATTTCTTTGCTCTGAAGGGCGCGCACACATACAAATATGTGGCGAAGGTCAATGGATGAAGGCCAGTGTCATTTATTCCTTGCCTTTTCGACCCACGTTAGCTTACGTATCTGCCCCCAAAATGTCAACCTGGGGTCCTCTTTAGGTTATCACGTGCCTCGAACGTTCTGCAGCGATCACCACAACTTGCTCCAATCTCACCCAAGCGCGCTATATATACACAAACACAGCGCATATTTCTTCCCCACAAAACTCAGAGAGTAGTATGGTTTTATGAGAAGGGCAATGGCGGACACCAAGTTCAGAGGTTCCTTGGAGGAGGAGGAGGAGGAGGAGAGGAGGAGGAGAAGTGGGACTAACAAAGGAAGAGTAATGCCACCTGTGAGAGGGCGTATCAAGCGTCGCATCTTCTCTGCTGTCCTCCGTAAAGTGACTGTTACTCTCCACAAAACCTTTATCTGCTTCACTTGATGGCTTAATTATTAGCCAAGCTTGGTTCTAAGTTCGTTGCTGTTTCAAGCTTCCTTTGTGTTCAATTCTTGTGTTTATATAGTCGGTGGTTGTGCTGTACATGCCAATATATAGAAAGATAGATACTATTATGCCAGTGATTATAAAATATATGTGTGTGTGTGTGTGAATCTTATATATAGTATGCTTTCATACATTCCCTCGTTTTCTTATATTTTTGTGCGCTTTCAGCATTTTATTTATCTATGGTTAGGAGATTGGCAATCAAAATGTGTTATCATCATTGTGAGGGGAAAGGGAATGAACTAAGTGCTTTTCAGAAGTATTACGACAAGTATCGTACTGCGTCGAGAATGAGGCCGGTAAACTTCATAGAAGTTTCTGAATGTGCGTGTGTATATGCGACAAATACAAGTACTTACGTGGTTGATTTGTTTAATTAATATTTTTAAACGGGTTTGAGCAAAATAAAAAGAAATTAAAGAAACGCGTTTGTATATCATAAATCCCTCGAGAGCAACATACACGGAGACGGAGGCGCTGATGGAACAGATCATTGTCATTAATTCAATACGAAATTCCCTCACTGTCTCCGCACCTAAATTTGTTCGGGCTTGTAGTTTCAACCCCCGTTGACGTCTTAAGTCCATCGTTCTTCACATTGTGAAAATAAACCTTTTGACGTTTAGGCTTTTAGCTTACAACTTTAATTAATTAATTGATGGGCTGGCTTGGTTTTGTATGTAGTTCACACACAGACACAGAGTCAGCTATTCTGCGCAATGTACATGTCTATGAGACGGTTGGTGAGGCAAGAACAAAAGAAAAGTGGGGTTTTGATAAGGTGAGAAATGAGAAATGCGTACTCCTTAACGGGGGAGCGGATAACATCATGAAGCATGATCGGAGACCTCGACACATGAAGTCAAAGATATGAAGGGGCTATTGCAAAAGGAATCGTGCGCTCTGACAAGGCAAACTGTTTGATAATATGCGTCAAAGGAACAGTTTCAGTCGAGAGGCGTCCCTGGTCCCTTATCCTCGATGAGGCTGGCAAGACCTTCAGGCCAATCCCGGAGCTTTGAATCAACTAATCGCATCAGGTTTTGCCTGAAGTGATGGCCGAGGAAGGAAGCACTGAATTTCATCGTTAAGATGCAAAATCAGATTGAGATTTTTACAGTTAATGGGTATTCGCTGTTGGGCTCTATTGCTAGGTATGATGAGATTTGATTCTCGCGAGACGTCGAGGGGGAAATTCATATTCTCAGGAACTAATTGGGGGACGAAAGTGACCCCGAACTAATCTCACAATAGGAAATGCTGCAGTTTAGAGTTTATTTTGCTTAGTGGTTATGGGTCACTAGTCCATCTGCCGCGTCATATAGCCATTCAAAGGAAGGGAAAGTCCAATAAATAGAAACCAGAATTTGGTGGCGGTTTAATTGAAATCAGGCTCATTGAACAAACCGGAGGAAAGCTCAAGTTATAAAGCCCTGTTTTTTCTATTTGAGGATACTTGCGAGCTGGGGGCTGGGCAACAAGCTATTAATCTATATGGAGCCCGGTCTAAATATTTGAAATTACCGTAAAAAATAATCTATACAGAAATTAACATCATATTAGTGCGATCTGTTGGTACTGGCTGAGCCTGCTGTCAATATTAATCATCAATTTAATATACTACACGTGGAGTACACTCTAGTGTTGTGTTTTTGTGTTTGTGTGTGTGTGTGTGTGTGTGTGTGTGTGTGTGTGTGAGTGATTGATATATCTTGTTTGGTCGCTGTCCGAATTCTGATGTCTGAAATTTGAATAGAATCTAGGACGTGTGAATTCTCTTGAGTCGCCATCTTCAGATGATGAAGCTCTTAATGTCCCTTCTTGAGCATCTATATCTAAGAATTACATAAGAAATAAACCTGTAGAACACGATAAAGCATACCATGACCCCCACGTTCTTCCATCTACTATCTTCCTCACCATATCCTTCTTCTTTAAGCACACTCGTTCCAGTCACCATACATGATCCAAACATGTACCCCAAGCACTTTTTTGAGTTGGAGAACTCATTGATCAGAAATCCTTCGAAGGGATACTTAAACAGAGATATATAGTGCATGAAAATCCAGCAACTTGGGATCTCGTTCTTCGATATGAAGTAACCTGAGAACAAAAAGAATGATCCTATGACGCCACTGATGACTGAGTTCCCAACAATAAAATTAGGCACCAGAGTACTGAAACATACCACAACTGAATTCGCCGTGTAAAGAATTAACCAAATTACCAACAAGAAGTACAAAAATGCTGTGAAATTCCTGTTCAGCCCCACAAGCCAGTATAAGGGTACAGTGAATAGAATGGCTAGGATGAGCAGAAATGGCAAGTAAACAACACCATTGGCAATAGCATAAGATGATACTCTGTAGCTACCACATGAGGTTTCCCTCATTAGAATCTCCCTTTCTTGCAGAAAAATTGGTAGAGCCTCTATTGTGCTTGTTAACAAAAATGTTAGTATGAAAGCAAAAAGACCAACCGTTTCTACAGCTCCCACTAGATCATCCTTAAGATTACAAAAGATGGATCCCAGTATGAGCCCGGACATGAGCATCTGAATCGTCCTAAATGCAAAGAGCTCCTTTGTACGAAAGATATTCTTGGAGAACCTGTGAGTGAGAATGATAGTTTCTCTCATTCTAGCATTGGCATAATCACAAGTGAATTCAGTTCCCGTATTGATGATTTGCTTATCAATAACACTGGATTGTTGAAAAAGCTGTTGCAGGGTAAACCTACCACTTTTATTGTCATCTTCATCTTGAGATTTCTTTTGTTGCTCGGTTACTGGCAAATGCAGGGGCGTTTCATGCTGAACTAGTTTGCATTTTTGGTGTTGTCGAATCGTTTCTATGGATTCAATGGCAAATTCAACTACATTAACGTGAAGAGGAGGATCTAGACCCATTAATCTCATATTCACACTCAGCAACTCCGCATTGCCGTGGTGTAGGACAGAGCCACCGGCTAACAATAATATAGAATTAAACAAGTTCACTATTCTGAACCCAGGCTGATGGATACTAAGGATGATAGTTCGTCCCCATGAGTCAGCCATCACCTTAAGCATATCAATGATTTGCAGTGCAGAAGTACTATCAAGCCCAGAAGTGGGTTCATCCAGAATCAGAACCTTCGGATCGTGTACGACTTCAACCCCTATAGAAACCCGCCGCCTCTCGCCACCAGATATCCCACGGTCCTTTCATCTCCAATCCGAGTCCCAGAAACATGGCCAAGTCCTAGTTCATGAATCAGAGACTTGACCTGGGAGAAGAGTTGTTCTTGAGAAAGCTTTAGCCTCAACTTGGCACTGAACATCAAAGTTTCTTCAACCGTAAGTAAGGGGAACAGAGTATCCTTTTGGGTAACATAACCTGAAATCTTCCTGAACTGAGCTTTATCTGCAGGCTTCTGGTTCACTAAGACAGACCCACTTTGTGGAGTTACTTTACCAGCAAGAACCTCAAGCAGGGATGATTTTCCAGCTCCACTTGGCCCAACTATGGCCAGCATTTCCCGCGGCTTGGCTTGCAAGTTCACATCCTTGAGTACATGCCTCACTCCACCGCAAGTTTGTGCTTCTTTTTTTGCTTCCTCTTCTGGTTTCTGAGTTTGAACATCTTCTTCCTCATTCAGTTGTGGAGTGTTCCTAAAAAGTTTCGTTAAGTAATGCTGGTTTTTCTGTGTGCTGATCTTGTAGTGAATGCCTATTGCTTCAACCTCACAACCTTCTTTCGTCATTGAATAGGAGGTTTGCATCTTCTGTCCCTGTCTCTCTCTCTCTCTCACCTACATGGTTTGCATTTTGAAATTCATTCGTCTCTCTTCCTTTCTGCTTCTCTTGTCTAGTCCACGGTCTTTGCTTCAACCACAAAACTGTGAAACAATGGCTGGTCCGAAGAGATTCGTGAACAAAAGTGCAAAGCCACTGAGGCCCTCGGACTTGCAAACTTGGTTCACGGGCACACGGTCTAGATATTTCTCTTCCATCGTGATATAATTTGACATGATAGTAGAATAGCTCACGTGAATATTCTTAACTATTCAGCATGACGAGGGAACCATACTGTAAATGGTTTTGGAGTATGCACCCTCGCAAGTACGACGTATGCTTTTAACACGTGATTACGGATGAGATGAGAAAAATCTGAAGGGCTAGTGACTTAAATATTGAAAAACACGAGGTCCATTCTGGTATAGCATTTAGCAGATCGTAGGATGCTATGAATGGGAAACAAACGAGAACCAGTTCCCTTGGCTAGGATTTCTTAATTCTAATTGTAATTGCTCTAAAACCAATATTAGCCTTCCTAAATCTGTGTAGTTTAGCAATTGCATCATTTTTTATGTTTATATATATAATCATTATTTAATCAATAGTTGCATCTTCGAAGACATTAAAATGAGAAATGGGCAATGGCTCTATTTTAACCTGGCGAATTATGATCAGAAAACATTCTCCAAAGGAAAGCTATGACTAAACCACCTACAAGAAGCTGGGGGGAAATCTCCGAGGCAAAATGCTGCAATTAACCAGCCATTTAATGTCTCTGCAGATTGACCTGCTCATTGATTTTAACTTCTGGAGAGAGTAAGGATATTATTCACTGTAATTATATCCGCCTTCCCAGACACAAAAATTTCTGTAACTATAATGTCTTCGTTAGGGCTTATATAGTTGCTTCTGCAGATATCATTATCAGCAAATTGAATCTCCTACCTTCATATATTTATGAAGAGATACTATATGTAAAAAAATAACCATGTATGAGACTCATGCTTTAGTTTTAGGTTCACAGCCTCTTTTATCTCTATATTTCTCCAAATATTGTTTATATATAAATATAGTCCATATTGCATTGCCAATTAATGATTAATAATTGACAAGAAGCTATAAAGACTTGACAAAACTGATCGATTCTAGCCAAGAAAAAAGAATTTGGGATTATTAGAAAATCATCATTTGACTCTAGTTTGGAAATGTTAGGAGTAGGTTAGACAGAGGGTAAAGCATATTTAACACAAATTTTGATTAGCATGTATGAAGGAAGTTGAATAGAAAGGGCTATATTCAATATAAAGTAATATCAGTATTTTGCATTGAAATTAACCTTTAGGGGGATCAAAATCCATATAAATTTACGAGGTTAGAAGCAGGCAGGAGTACTATTTTTTGTCATTGTCACAAGGTGTTTGCTTTTATATATAAAAGCAACTCCTCTGGGCTCCAACATATGATTCGGTGTGGCAGAGCAAGAACCCGTGACCTCTGTTCTAATTATGAAGTTCATCAGTCACACACATCTTTCCCAGTTGCCACTTGGCCCACCCACTAACACGTCATCATCACTTACAAATTTTCTATGACCATTAATATGAAAGAATATTTAGGAGCCCCAAAAATCTCTTAGCCTTGCCCGTGAATCTCTTTTTCTCTCTCCCCACCACACATACAGAGTCACACGCTAAAAAAAAGTAGGTTTATCAACATCACAGTCCCATTTAGTTATTAGTGAACTAAAAAAAAACTAGAATTGGAGGAAATTTGGATTGATTGATCAGTCAATGGAAAGTGTCCTGTTTATAACTCGGTGGTATCAAATCGCTGTCTCTTTTTGGTTATAAATAAGTGGTTTTGATCAGCTTAAATGTAATGAATGGCTCGGACCTACAAGGGCTTAAACCATATCATCACTTATCTGTCTACTTGATTCTTCTGTATTTATCTCTGACTATGATGTGACCCTGCATATTTTACACACACACACCTGGGAGACGCCTTCTTCCATGCAGGACATAATTGCAGAGAAATATTATACATTAATGCATTTTTGTTTGTTACGGGAGCTTTTTGTGCAAGAGAACTTCAAAACTAAAACATGAATTAGGGAATTGAGAGCATTCGCTGGCACTGTTTCAGCAACTTCTCCCTCATCGTGACTCCCTACTTTTTTTCTCAGGTAAAGAGAATTGTGTGTCTGTGTCATAAGTCATAACGTGTCTGGGGACAAATGAAGTGACAAGCTCTCACTTTCTCTGTTGAAGGATGCTCCGTGGAGCCCGTGACCATGCATGCCTTGCACTGCAACACGTTTCTCATCCCTACTAAGCAATGCCCACTTCACAGAAAATGAAAGGAATTCATTTATCCTTCCTTCCCCGGCTTATTCTCTTTTTCAAAACCCAGAGGAAAAAAAAAAAAGAACAGAAAATGATTATAGTTGCTAGTGTCTAGTGTGTAGGATCCAAGTATTTAGATCCAAATCCCTTTGTCACAGATTCAATCCCCCACTAAGCGGACCTGCAGACCTACTTATTAGTGAGGAGGGTAATTGCCTACCTCATTTTTGCACATATTATTACACACACGCACGCATATTTGATATTGATACTTTACTGTCTTTAATTAATATTTTATTTTGACTTGACTAAACCCAAACTCTAATATTTAAGAGTTTAAGTATTAACCCGACTTAACCAGCTTCCTAGGATCAGCACTCTCCCACCCATCCTCACTTTGATTGGCACTTTTCCATTAGCAGTGTGGCTGAAGCAAGATAGCTTATTGTATGAGTCTGATTTTACGTGGCACTTAAATTCTGACCCCCACGTTTGACACTGTTTCCTTCCAAGGATGAGAAGGCCCTTCTTTTTCCAATCATGGCTCTGCGATAACGAGTGCTTCCTACTGCTACTATAAGGACTTTACTCAGAAAGCTTCTAGCAGCTGCATATAACTAGACACTTTCTATCTATCCTGTAGGTTACATATGATGAATTGCACACTTAAATTCTTTTGTATATAATTGCAGACCTTCCCAGAGACATTAATTCCTTGCAGCAAGTAAACTATGGGATTCCAATCACTCTTATTATGAATCCTTTACATGCATTTCTAACAACAAAGAGTTTTAAGCTCCCAGTCATATAAACCGCTCATGCTGATGTAAATCTACTTACACTGGCCAGGAGAATTTCATGCTGTTTCAAATCTTTTGCGGGCTGTTCCGTATTGGACGCAACAAACATGTAAATTTGTTCTTGTCGTCATTGCGAAGCCACTGTCTTTCCTGTAAATTGTTGCCAATCTATAGTTGCACTGGGAATTTCATGATGCTTCAATGGTCAGGGATGATGGCTACGTGTTAAAATCCACTACCAATTCACAATCACGACAAGAACATGCTTGCATGGTTGCGTCCAATATTAAAGAACTGGTGAAGAAGAATGATGGTGGGGCCCACGTGCCTCTCCCTTTCACACTCAGTGGCAGACACACTGCAAAGCTTGGCACCTGAAATTTTGTACGAAGAACCATCACTGAAGGCTAAGCAAGATTGCGCCATAAGAAAAATTAAATGCATATATTTTTCAAGATGTTTGAACCTGAAAGTCAAATCCAATGTCTTGCTTGCATGTAAACGTTGCTTGCATTATCATCATATCCATTTCGTGTATGGACACGTGGGTACGGTCCCACTTAGCACGTAGAAGCTATTGCAAAGGATTGCTCCTTGAAGACGAAATCTGGAAGTGCGTATTAGTGCTTTTGCACCAACATTTATCTTCCTTTACCCAGAAAGCTGCCATGAACTTGTGCTATCGTAAATGCTGCGTAAGATAACAAGTCATGACTCATAAGCAACACTCCTCTCACAAGAATATATATGGCTACCAAAAATTAGATAGAAGGGTTTTCCAGAGCCATTATTATACCATATGAGAAGTAAAAAGCATGTACTGTTACAATTATGTTTAACCTAAGCGGTGCGGAGTATAACTATATCTATAATCCACAATTTATACTGACGAGAAGTCAATCTATGGTTAAAAGACAGAAGCAGCCTGACAAAGATATCAATTTTTAAATTAAAAAGGTCAAAGGAAGGATCCATATAAAGAAAAGGCCAAAAGAAGGTAAGGGTATCCTAAAGCTAATACAGGTATACGGCCTCACTGTTTATTTTGTTTAGTGTCTAAACATTAAAGAAAGCTTACGTCAAAACAAATGAGAAGAATTAATTTTATGTTGTACCGGTATAGGAGGTCGGATCGGAAGTAATATGAAATAAACATGTAAGAGAAGCTAAATTGCATTTTTTTTAAAAAAAAAAAAAGCTGATTCAAATAACTTCCAGAAGAAAGAAGCAAAATGCCAAAAAAAAAGAAAAAAATGAATATTTCATTACCATCAAGAAAAGTTTTTTTTTGGCCAAAAATTACCATCAAGAATAGTTAAAAATTAGATTTTGTCATCAATATCCCAAAATGAAAGGCAGATGAAATGATGATAGAGCTATTTGGCTAGGGTTACGATTTGGCAGGTTAGGTTAGTGAGAACCAGTACACATAGAAAGTAAGTTTGAATCTATCTTGTTGAAGACCAGAAGGGTCCAATTAAACAATAACAACAACGACAACAGTTCATGTCCAAACTTGACAAGGTGGTTTAGGTGAAAGTTTTCCCCCCTGCACTTAAGTTTTTGAATTTTATATTATTTTTCTGCGTCTGTCCCAGGCAAGAGGGGTAGCAGGAACAAAGGATAAGCTTCAAAGCGCCACCTAAAGCCAAAAAGCAAGCACCGTTGAAACACTTGTCCAAGGATCAACTTTGCGCCGGCTAAAGGTGACCTCCCAACTACTTCATTATGCCAGAGTGCGTAAGTTTGCTTTTAGCGAAGCGTAATGATTTATTGAGCCATCAAGTCATCGGCTATTATTGGTTAGCTGCTTACGTAATGCAGCAAATTCCCACTTGGGCTACTTCATTTGTGTTTTCATTCATTTGTCCGATTAAGTGATAGAATCATTTTACTAAAGAAACAGTTTGAATCATAATTGAGAGAAGTGTTTATATTTAACGCGCAACAAAAATTGTCCCATGGGAGGATACCAGCAAAATACATACATACATACATATATATATTAGTAAGACCTAAACATGAATGAGCAGCTGGCAAACTGTTGGACAGTTGTAAGAAGGATAAATTCCGACTGTCAATTTGGTGTCTCATGGTTGAACAATGAAACCTGAATTAGAAGAATTCAGACAAAGAAGACACAAGGATAGTCACCTCAATTGCATTGATTCCCTTTTGCTAAGAGCCAGGACGATATGTCTCTGCTTTACCTAGCCTCCTTTTACCCTTTGATTCGTCCAACGCTGCAGCAATAATGAGAAATTCAAAATGGGTTGCCTTTAAATTTAATCTTTAGAGTGCCAACTATGTATCCACAGTTCGTGAGTTCTACACTTTCAGCTGATAAAGGACGGCTGAGGTGATTCATGTTCATGAACATATGGCAAATGTGAACGGGAACACTTGTGACCCATTTTATCCAAAAGAAACTTTTTAGGGTCAGAGACCCATCATTAATTAGATTTTTCCACACAATCGTACCATCATATTGACCAAACCTGAGATATCACCGATGATGATACTTTATCTTATTGGTTCATGCAAAGAGTAAAAAGGCTCAAGAGATGCTCAAACAGTGACGAAAATTCTCTTTAAATCATCAAATTACCTGTGCGATACAGTAAATAAGATGCATTTTTATTGGTGGGGATGAGATGATAATGATAATACTAGCTTAAGGGGAAACTTGATCATTGCTTTGAACTATTTTATAAGCATTAACCTTTCCAATTTTCATGCAGCACACCGGTGGAACCCATACAGTTAAAGGTCAAAGAAGGCTAATTCCTGTATTGCCTCGTGAATTATGCTAATCCCAAGTTGAAAAATGAAATAGAAAAGAAAGAATGAAAAATGTACCATATAGATTAACTCGGCTTTATGCAATAAATTAATATAACTTAAATGATCAAATTACAGCTAACTTGTTTTAGTAGCATCCCTAGCCAGCTTCGTCCTTCTTGGCCCTACTTTCTTATGATGGTATTCCACGTACCGCCGTCTTTTTCTAACCAACTCAATTCTTATTTTGAATCATAATCAACCAAAACCTCCTCTCTCTCCCCCCTCTCTATCGGTATATATAGTACCTAAACTTGACACAAATGCTAAAGTCCACTAAACATACCTAAAATATAGGAGATATAATGGCAGATGGAAGCGTCAACCTTCCCCCTGGGTTTCACTTCTCTCCAACGGATGAAGAACTTGTCCTTCACTTTCTTTACAGCAAAATTTCTCTTTTACCATGCCATCCTAACATCATCCCTGATCTTGACATTTCTGTGTCTGATCCTTGGGAATTAAAAGGTATGCTTCTACCTTTTGTCAACTAGTTCTGTATTTCACATTCACAATTATACGTCACAAAAGAGGCCAAATAATTAACCATCGATATATGCATGGGTGAAACTCTAAATCTACAAACAGGTAAGGCGTTGTCAAGTGGAAATCAATACTATTTCTTCACCAAGGTGAACGAGAATAGAACCACACGAAGTGGGTATTGGAAAGAAATAGGACTCACCGAGTCTATTGTCTCGGCCGCCGACAAGAAAGTGGGAATCAAGAAGTACCTCGTATTCAACATAGGAGAAGCCCCAGAGGGTGCTGAAACCAGCTGGATAATGCAGGAGTATCAGTTTTGCTCATCAGGGTGTAACACTACATCACATAGAAGTACCAGACGAAGAAGAAAACCGGTAAGTGATTCACTTTTTCCAATTAGACCACCTAGTTAGTAGTGATTCCACATACAGCAAATTAGTAGACCTCCAATTGATCTCTTCTAAACCAACGAGACAGGAACAGAGCCAGAGCAAATGGGCTTTATGCCGCGTTTATGAAAGAAACAGAGATTCTCAACAAGAAGTGAACTGCTATGATGATGACGACGACGACAGCAGAACAGAGTTGTCATGGCTGGACGAAGTTTTTTGGTCGTTGGATGATGATCTTGAAGAAATTAACCTGACTTATTATTAGAATGACGATATATTTATATGATAGAAAAGAACTCCTTGCATAATCAAAGTTCTGAGTTATATGTATCTGAGTGGCAATCTAGCCAAGCCATCATTGCTACCTGCAGAACCTCTTAGAGACTGTATCTGTCTGAGTAATGGCTTTGTTGTCGCCTTTCCAACTTCCTGGTAAACCTGAGAATATTAGCTTTGCCAAAATGCAGCTCATATAATTTATCTTCTATGTATAATAAAACGACTTTACTACTATCTACCTGTAGCACCTTATTAGTTACATAACCCGTTGTTTTATTATTTTTTCACGCCGGATATTACGTAATCAAAATTTAAACCAAGCAATCTTACTATTTGGCTCGACCAACTTTGAGAGCAAAAGAATATGCTCCAGTAGAACTCTCTTCTCTTGGTTGGTAATTGGATCTGGATGAAGGTCTGCATATGGATATTCACTTTTTCACTTCATGCAACAAAAAGATAAAAGTTGACCAAATGACTATATCTTATATAAGGAGGTCGAGAATATAGATGGTTTTACATATGCAAGATCCTTTAGCAAATTTTTGCTTAGAGTAAAAATCGAAACAAATTGACAGAGAATAATTTGCAAGCCTCAAAAACCACCTCATCTGGTACTTACACATCCAGCCAATCACCATCATCAATCAGGGAGAAAAAAGCATGCAAGAGGGGGCCTGCTGTCTAATATACATGCCTCACACCAGTGGGCCTGCACGACTCCTGATTTTCTTTAGGTTTTTTCGGCCGGTTGATTCCTAATTTGCTGTTCATTTAAAAAAAAAATTCTGGATATGGATTGTAATATGGTCCTTGTCCTTGATATAATTAAAAATTGAAGAAGAGGATAAATTGAGACGGTAGGTTGATGATGCTTACAGCATAAACTTGACCGCATAGCATTCATATATTATTATTTTATTTCACAAACAAACATTGCTTGATTTTGGAATTATGTTTTCCAGATCTTCACCCTAAGCTATAAAACATATATTTTTCCAAGCCATTGATCATAAAGGGCAATCAAGGAATTTCACCATACACAGCGATCACCTTTTTTTCCCAAGATTTCCAATTTTTAATTGGTAATATATGTGGCAAAAGGCATGAATCTGAAAGTAGATGCTTGTACCAGTAATCTTCCCCCCCAGAGACGGCTCTTCCACATCATCTCCATCTTAGGCATCTCTAGTAATTGGTGACCGGCCGGGTTATGGCTTCTTTGTACATGAGGAAATCGACAACCATCCTCCGCCATGTCAAATCAAAGATGGCCTTCATGGCTTCTCTTCAACGAGGCTCTTGGAGTTCTTCGACCCCTCACTTTTACCGGAAAGCCCAATGTCAGCCAAATCATGTTCGAGCTAAACGATTGACTGCTAAAAGGTGCATTCAGCATATTGCAGGTTTGCTGTCATGACTCTTGGGAAAGATTTTTCTCTTCTGCCAGTCTTAGAAAACAATTTTGCGTCTCTGGTTCGCCGCACCAAGATGGCAAAATCGTTATCCAAAAAAACAGTTGTTTACCAGAAGAGAAGTTTTTTTTTTTTTTTAAAGATTTTTTTCCCCCATAAATACAATTATACAGAACAAAAGCTTTTGTTATTATTCAACTTTTTGCGCCTGATGAAATCACGAAAGAAACGAGTTTTCTATGGGCCTGGCCCGAAAGAAACTTGCTAGATATTAACCAAATATAAAAAATATCAAGCCCATGGATTCGGGCCTGAGACCATTTATGCCGCTACTATTTCTTTTTCTTTCTTTTTTTTTCACCTTGAGAAATAATGAAATATCCAAAATTTGTTATTTTCTGAATTCTCTCTCCCTCTCTCGATCTTGTTGGTCCCGCACAGTATCTTTGCCTTCGTAAGCGTCGTCGCAGTTCTACTCTTTTATTTTCAGATGGCTATAGTGTGAAGTAAAATGAGGATTCTTGAAAGCAAGTTAGTGAACCTGACAAAGCTTTAGGGGGTGTTACAAAGCTTTGAAGGGGTTTGGGTAGCATGAGAAATGCTTTTTAAAAATATTTTTCAGCGAATGGAGATACTTCTACATACACACACCGTAAAAGTACTTTTAGAGTTAAACACCCTTTAGTCCAGTAAACTTGCGAGATACAATGCGCCGGTATCCCTTTCCTGACTTTGAATTTTCTTACTTTTAGGACCTTTTATCATTAGCATCCCTCTCTGAAATTTCTATCTGAGCATTGAATATCTTTAATATGACTTTATGTTGAGAAGCACCGTAATAAAAATGCTGACTTTGTTAGCAAAAGCACTCTGTCCTGTTAACAGAATAGCTCAATTGAAGTCCAATATGCCATGGTCAACAGTGAAGCTCAATAGTGTTAGGTCCAAGTCTTCTGAAGATACTAGAACATATCAGGACGAGTATGGCTAAGACATATCGGTACTATAGACACGAGTGTTGTTTCCTCATTATACGTGCCACAGTGGACTTGTGCATTGTGTGTATATGCACGGACAGACTGTTTGAATCACAGGCCCGCAAAAAAGTGCACACTGCAATTGCATTTCATTCCTTTTCTTTGTCTTTTCTGATTTGTCCCGAGACCATGTTTGACTCGAATGTTCTGAGGCGATTTCTTCATTTGTGATAGTAATGGAGTTCCTTAAATTAAAGTTTTAGAAATTCCATTATTCCGAACTTGCCTACGAGGTCTTTTTTTCACTGGTGGGCCGTGTTAGGAACATTGTTGGAGCACCCATCATCTATTATTACTAGTTGATCTGGTTTGCTTGATTCGAATGAAACAAGCTGCGTGATGAAGTAGCGATCCAGCCCTTAATTTAAAAGCTAAAAGTGATAAAATTAAATTTGTTGAGGGTGATTGAGGCATTTTAAGGTCTATGCTGAATCCGTTTGGATGCTCACTGTGACTTCAGGTTCTCATTTGCCTTGCGTGCAAAATCAGCATGCCATGCATTTTTAATTAGCTTGGGCCACTAAAGCTGGTTCGGTCTTTCGGATTGTTTTCATTCTAACTGGATATGGCAGGTTTTGGATTTTCCCGGGGGAACAGTGAAATTCACACCTGCAATGAGGTTTATATCTGAATCTCCTGAGGAGAGAGTGCGCTGCTACCGGGTACTTGATGACAATGGGCAGCCTCTTCTGGGCTGTAGCTTTGAGCAGGTCTTCACATTCCCAATACATCGTAGTATTGATATTTTCCTTGCAATTGCTGTAAGTGAATTAGCGGATAATATTATGAAAAGAAACTGATGGAGATGTCGGTAATATTAGGTTAGCATGGAAATTGCTGTCAAAATGTATCACAATATGGTTACACTTCAAACTATGGACACACTCTTTTATGAAGCACAAAGACAAGGTAGAATTTCTTTTTATGCAACGACCATTGGAGAAGAGGCTATCAATATTGCATCAGCTGCTGCTCTCAGCATGGAAGACCTAATCTTCCCTCAGGTTGCAAGCGCATTCGTCATACATATAAAAGGGGACCTTTTTACTGCACTCTATAGTTTTATCTAGAATTTAACCTATAGCTTTTCTGGGGATTTCCTTTATCAATTTACCGCCCTATCTGATTTGTGCAAGGATGGAAATGATACGACAGTAATAATACAGATTTCAATTACATGCAGTATAGGGAACCTGGGGTCCTGCTTTGGCGTGGTTTCACTTTGCAGGAATTCGCGAACCAATGTTTTTCCAATAAATACGATAATGGAAAAGGGCGGCAAATGCCAATCCATTATGGGTCTAACCAACTCAATTACGTAACTGTAGCATCAACAATTGCGTAAGTATCTAAAGCTTCTTCAATGATGCATAGGTGCATAGAACTTTTCTTTTTGTTTTTTTAACCTCACCACTCCTTTATATTGAAAGTTGCAAAATTGCCTAACTTGCACTGACGTTCCAGCTCGCAACTTCCCCATGCTGTGGGAGCCGCATATTCCTTGAAGATGGAAAAAAAGGATGCCTGTGCTGTCACTTATTTTGGTGATGGTGGCTCAAGCGAGGTAATGACTACATAATTTCTGTAATGTATGAGATGCATTTGTTAAAATAAATGTTTAGATGACTAATACACCACATGGAGTAAGAACTTGTATCTGGTTCTATTTTGCATTGATTTCTTCTTAATTAAAAGCTAGACAGAGAGGTACAACAGTGTACCTTTTGTTTCCTTCAGCAACGAATGATCCTTAGTAACTAAAGAGCTTTGACGTTATTCTATATACTCTAACTGATTGCGCTACTAGGGGGATTTCCATGCGGCTTTAAATTTTGCAGCTGTTATGGAGGCTCCCGTTATTTTCATATGCCGGAATAATGGATGGGCTATTAGCACGCCTACTTCAGATCAGTTTCGAAGTAATTTCCTTACTCTTTTTTTATTTTGGTACTCTCTCTTTGGTTAAGTTGGCAGCATTGTCTCATAATGTCTAAATGCAATTGTTCTTTGTTTCCCTTATATGCATAGGTGATGGTGTTGTAGTGAGAGGGCAAGCTTACGGAGTTCGTGGCATCCGTGTCGATGGCAATGATGCCCTTGCAGTTTACAATGCTGTTAAAACTGCTCGTCAAATGGCAGTGAGTGAGCAAAGACCAGTTCTAATTGAGGTAGGGTGATAACTTTTTTGGCAGCAGCAAGTACTATTATGTGAAGATATTTTAACGGCAGACCAACTTCATATTTGTTTTCCTCCACAGGCCCTTACATACAGAGTGGGACACCACTCCACGTCAGATGATTCCACCAAGTATCGCCCTGTCAATGAAATTGAATTGTGGAGGTTGGCACGAGATCCAGTGGCTAGATTTAGAAAGTGGATTGAAAGTAATGGCTGGTGGAATTGTGAGGCTGAATCAGAGCTTAGGAACAGTGTGAGACAGCAGGTAATATTGCTCCCTCAGAAAATTCGGCCAACTCGTTGGTACCTGATGTTTTACTGATTAAAGTTTAACCCAATATGAGGTGTGATGTCCTCATCCTGCTTTGTTTGGTGCTGTTTGTGCTTTTATTTTAAGACTCATGGTTTTATATATTTATAAAAACTTTAACAAACCACACTATTCATAAACCATAAATAGTACAAGTGATTTCTGAGATTTTATGCAATACAGGAGACCCACACTAGTTATAAAAAGGAAATGAATAAATTGAAAGTTGAATATTTTAACTCCATTATCACCTTACCTTTTTTTGGACAGAATTGAGGCACAATAGCGATGAATTAGAGATGAAAAATTGTCTTATTACTGTGTTTTTTTTCCCTCTACAGCTTCTGCAGGCAATTCAGGTGGCAGAGAAGGAAGAGAAACCAGCAGTTGCAGAGCTATTCTCTGATGTTTATGATGTCCCTCCATCCAACCTTCGCGAACAGGAGAAATGGTTGAGAGAGACTATTCAAAAACATCCACAGGATTACCCATCAAATATTTCAGTGTAGTTATGGGCCTAATGTTCATGTCATTACTTATTTCAACGATAAGTTTGCCTTCGAACTTGATTTTTGTTCCGAATCGAATGTGCAACTTGGGAAAGAAATAATACCAGGCCTTAAGCAAGAAGTTTCAACAAATAGGGGATTGTGAGTAAAAAGTTTGCAAAATCAGATATATTGATTGGAGTGAGCAATCCTCAAAAGAAAACGAAACTTCATTTTTGCTTCCTGTTAAGAAAGTGAAACCTGATTCCTCAATGGCATAGCCTGTTCAATATTTCACTAAATATTTACTCAAGTGATGCACGTAGTGGTATGACTTTGGCATCCCCGAACAAGTGGCTTATAATTACAGTTCAAAAACCACCGACACGGTGGACCCTTTCAAGTGTTCCATTCTTCTCTGAAACGAGGCGAAGGAGAGGGATGCAATTGGCAAATTCAATGATGGAAGGAGCTTGCTATTAAAGTATGTGGAGCACAAGAAAATGAATTGGAAACATGTAATGATTGAATTCTTTGAAAACTTAAAAGATGGCGTATATGTGCAAAAGGCTCATAATTTGATCGTTGAATTGTCAACCAAAAAAGCAGACTGACATAAGCTACATGAAACGATCATCTTCTTAAATACTCCATGAAAAAAGAAAAAAAAAACAGATGCACTGCCAATATATGGCGTATGAAATGCACCACTAATATATTCTGGTTTTGCCTTCATCTGCGTCCTTTGTTTTGTTATTCAATTTGTGCACGATTGTTGTCTTTGTCAGAATGTTCAAATGTCTCGTTTGACCATCTAGATTCAAGTTGCTTGGTCTGGAGGACTATGAATAGAGCTTTTGTTTTCTCTTTTTCTACCCCTAACCATTTAACTACTAGACATATTTTTTTAATATAGTCTACTTTTGCCTCTTGAGGTGTAAAACAGAATAAGAAAACAACTACAATAGAAAAGGTTCAGAGGAAAAACCTGTAACATAATTTTTTAATGCAGTGACTTTTGGCTTATATGTATTTAAATATGTATCTGAAATTGTTTTGTAGAAGCTTTACATATTGCGTGCGCATGTGAGCTTCAAAATGAAGAATTAAATGGAGGGTCTGGAGATATGTTTTTTTGACTAAGCAGAATAAAAATAAATGGGATTGTCAACATTGGTATTGGCATCGAGATAATGGAGGCTGAAATAATATTCCAATGGCAGACAAAATAGTGTTCAAAAGGTCCAGATTTGCTCATAGTAATCTCTACTATTAATAAATGAAAGCTTTCGTCATTTTGTTGTTTGGTCTCTTTCTTCCTTCCATTTTCTCCTCCTCTGCCGAACTTACCTGTTCTTCCGGGAACATTAATTTAGACTTGGTTTTCTTGCCTACTCAGAGACCGATAGTTAATTCTGCAAACCTTGAACTTTGTACTCCCTTTTATGATTTTGGTTATTTATTCATTTATTTTGTTTCGGTGACAGAATAATTATTTGATATCTATTGTAATTTTCTTTTGGTCTGACTTAGTGTCATGTTGTTTTTTTTTTTCACCTTGACTTTAATGTCGTTTACTATTACATTATATATACTCAGAATTATAATTTTTTTTGGCCTGAATACTCAGAATTATAATTCACAGTTTGATATAAAAAAAAATATTATAACATCGTAAGAATCACAATAGAAATGTAATCCTTCTCCTGGTCATAAAATTTAAGTGCTTGGTAAATAAGTGGGAAAAAAAACATCGAGTATTGCTCTAACTTTTAATATGAGTTACTTATAACATATTTTCGTATATTAAAAAACATATAAAATAAAAAAATTTAATTTTATTATTATTATTTTTTGCCTATATTTACAAATCAAATGTCATCATATATTTTTTTTTCTTATTTTTGCTTTAATGAAAATTTAATAAAAGCATATAAGTGACTGACTGACTGGCTGAGATTTATGACTACAGTAGTTTTGAAGATGAAATGGGGGAATCAAAGTGTGGGGAGGAGTCAAAATGCGAAAGGAGGCAGACAAGACAGAGAGACAGACACAAACAACAACATCAGATAGTGTGTGGGTGTGGGGAATCTATTGAAGATTGCCTTTAATGCATCCCCCCCTCATTATTATTACTACTATTATTATTCCTCCATGTGCTTCCATTCTATCCATCTATCGGATTAGCTCAATTGCGTCTTCGTTGTCTCCTAAATTTTCCTAATTAATCTGTTCAAATCTCACGTTCCTTGGATTGGTTTCCTACATATTTGTTTCCTATTGCAAATGCCCACAGCCGTCTCCGTCTCGTCTTTCTAGAACAACTTCCCCATCCCTGATCCCCCATTTCCATAATGCATTAGGCCTTCACGAATAACTGCTCTTTTTTGAACAACCCAACCACGCATCAACGTTAGGTTCAACCCAGTCTGAGTTGAGGTGAAGTTCATTTTAAACACATATATATTCCTGTTGTAGTTGTCCCAAGAGTCTTTATCACAGTTGCCAACTTGATGTCTTCCATATCAGTGCTAATTAATGAAGGCTATATATCCGTTCTGATTCTTCTCAATCAAGTAAAGCTTTATAAGCACCGAATTTCCGTAAGAACCAGCAATTTTGAGCGAAGAACCTTTGCAAAGAAGATCTCATCCTGCAAACTGGATAGAGAAGAGAGTATCGGCTTTGGATAGATTAACCGAAGTTACCCAAACTTCTTTCAGTTCAGTGCAGTCTACAGTCTCTCAGAAAGCCAAGAGAAGATATATCTGAGCCGAGCGTATAATAAATTTTCATGCAAGAAAGCATAAGATATACATACAATAGTATACACTATTGCTGTCTGAGGTTCGCTCTTCAATTAATCAAGGCCTGAGAAGGACGCTTTAACCGAAGGTTATGTTTATGTTATTAATTAAACTTGAGATTGAGATGAGAAGTATATGTAAAACACGGAAGAATATAAAAAGAGATCGAGATGCTTTTGTGTGTGTGAATCACATATTTCCCATTCGTGAAACTAGACATACAGTAGAATCAATACAATGTGCGATTGAAAAAACAGCAGCATAGAGAAAAGAAGGGAAATCATTTTCTGAAAAGCGAGACGTCTTTAACACGATAATTATAGATTATCAGTAAAGGAGGAAAGCAACTTGAGATGAAATGAGAGGGTGGAAGTGATTTGATGAGTTGATAATAATTTGACAACGTCCAATGAGCCTGGTAAAGTTGTATATTTGTCAATTATGAGGGTCCCTGTACATAAATATCAATCCCAAATATGTATGCGGCAGTTATTAATCCTATATACAATTGATGATTCAACCGAATGGCTATATGCACTGAGATTAAGTGAATGAAAACGCAGACATATCATATGGGCTATCAGGCAATGACTTATTACTATCATCAAACCACCAACTCACATAGTGCTTCCCCCTTCATATTATTGCCCCTCTCCTGACCATCATGACCACCATTAATTTCATTTCATCCACACTTTCAGACTGTAAAATAGTGGTAGTGATTTATGTGTTGCTGTCAAGCTATATCACTATCAAAAGGTTTCATTTTAAATTTATATTTTTTTTCAAGAAAAAGGAAGAAAAAATCCTGGTCCCTCCTGTTACTAAAGTCCCCTTGAAATTTATATTTAAAAAATAATTAAAGGGCTTAAGAAAAAATCTCCTGAAATACGGGCGGAAAAGAAACCCAACTTTTGCGGTTTATTGGCGAGTCAAGTGTGATTGGTGGATTCAAACTTGAAGACATAATAAACAATGATTTTGATCTTTTGGTGGGTCAGTTTGACTGGACTGATGTGGAGTGATTGAGTGAAAGAGGATAGTGGGGACCATCACCCCACAATTATTCTACATCATTAGTTGCCAACCCACGAGATAAGGCCTGTTTGGCCTTCTCCATTTTCTTCTCTCTCCCTCTCTTTTCCCCTAACTAAACTCAAACCATTGCACTTTTCTTCTCTCTCGTGAGCAGAAAAACGCTTATCCGCTCCCACCATCACCACCACTTCCCTTTCTTCTTCTCTTTTCCTTCTAAAATGGGATGTTAAGTTCCTTCTCCTCTTCCTCTTCTTTAAGACTCCTCGTTACCCTCTGTGGCTCTGTCTCTCGCCACCACTTCCTGCTTCTTCTGCCTCCTAGTCCTAGGCTTTATAGGCTAAAACAGCCCACGGAAAAAAAAGTTTACTATTTTCTGACACGCCTTCTTGTAGCATTAATGCCTTCGTCCCCTCCAGTGCTTGTCTCTTCTTGTATTGCCTACAATTGCTACTTGCAAAGTTTTTAGCTTTACCAGTGTCTGTCTGCAATATCTTCACTTTGTTCACACCCCAGTACTTGGATAAATCAATCCTGAGTTTTCTTCCATGAACGAAGCTGAAATGACGATTCCTCACTTGTTCAGGTGCCCGATCAGTCTAGACTTGTTTGAGGATCCAGTGACCTTGTGCACGGGCCAAACCTACGATAGATCCAGCATAGAAAGATGGATTGCTCAAGGTAATCTCACTTGCCCTGTCACAATGCAGAAGCTTCATGATCTATCCATCGTCCCCAATCACACTCTTCGACATTTGATCGATCAGTGGCTTCAATTTTACCCTCAATTTGACCACTTTGGTAACTCTCAAACCATTGATTCTCTTGCCTCTCTGAGACGCACCCTTCAGTCTCAGGAATCCACCTTCCAGAACAAACTCCAAGCACTTGAAAAGATCAGGCTCTTATCTGATGAGTATTGCTCTTTCAAGAAATCCTGCTTCCTCCAATTGGGTTTCTTGCCTCTTCTCTTGGGACTAGTTTTCGGAGCTCAAACGTCCAAAGAGCAGCATCACATGGAGTTCTTAGACCTAGCTCTTTCTTGCATTATGAAGTTGTTACCCCTTGACAGTACCTCAGAGCCTCTAAATATGCTCAAAGAAGAAACTAAATTAGAATCGTATCTTCTATTATTCGAAAAGGGCAGTCCCAATATTAAAACCAGCCTGTGTAATCTGATAGATTCAGCGGCGGCAGCACATTTAGAAGAGGTATTGCTTAGACTCGGAAACTCCCAGAAACTACTCAATGAAATTGTTCATCTTGCAGGCCAAAATAACTGCGAGGCTTCCAGGGCTGCAATTAAAGCCATATCAGCGTTATGTTCCTTGCAATCAAACAGAGAGAATCTGGTAATAGCAGGGGCAATAGATGGCATCATGAGGTACATTTCAGGATGTGAAACAAGAGATAAGAACCTGGCTCCATTGGGGATGGAGATAATAGAGAAGCTTCTGGTAATAGAGAGAGGCAAAGAAGCATTGGCGAACAGTCCAGATGGGATTCAAACTTTGGTAAGGATGGTGTTCAGAGTGAGTAATCAAGAGTGTAGTGAGAATGCTGTGGGGCTACTGATAATGGTGTGCAGAGAAAGCGGGCGAGCGAGAGAGGAAGCCATTGAAGAAGGAATTCTGACTCAGTTGCTTTTGCTTCTGCAGAGCCAATGTAGTGCCAAGTCGAAGACGAAGGCAAGAACGCTTCTCAAATTGTTAAGATCCAAGTGGGCTGACAAAGTACCAAAACAGCCCTAAATTTTTTTTGAATATAAATCACAATACAAGCTGTTCTTGTTCTATATTCGCTTGTTTCTTTTCACTTCATGATCTGTGAATTATCTTCATCGCCCAAAAATTTCCCATGCAATGATAACATCAAAATTCAGTTTTCACCTCATTAATCCATCATTTAGTACCGTCTGATAAATTCTTTAAACAAGAAGCAGAGGCAAGGGGTTTAGGTGTGATACTTGAGCATGGTATAAGATAAATTTTGAAGTTTATACATATCACTAATTTTGTTAGAATAATAGAAAAATCTTAGAGGCTTTGGGATTGTTTATAATATGTGGTGTCTTGAAGCGACTTTTTGAGTGAGGAACTATATCAATTAAGTCTTTTTTTTTTTTAACGTTACTTCGGTTTAGAATAACTGATAATCAGTTTTCATTTATAATTTATGAAATACGAAATAAATATATGAAAAGAATTTCATCTCAATTTATGTAAAATGTGTTTATAAATAATTTTAAATGTGATAACTTGTAAATGGCATAGCTCACTAAACATTTTATTTTTATATTAATGTTGTTGTTACTATTTTTAAATCCTTACAAATGGATACAAGAGATAATCTGAGTTCGAAATATGTGAAACAAAGAATAAGGAATCATGTTCCACGAGGCTTTGCCTTTACGGATCATAATGGACAAGACTAAAAATTTGAGCGGTGTGCGGCTAAGTTTTTTATTATTATTTCCAAAGTTGTGGAGAGTTTTTTCCCCCTTTTGTGCACGGTGGCGTATTTTACTGCGGCACAGGCCTTGATCCAAATCTCTCCTATTAAGATTCTTCTTGGCAACTGAAATCATTTATAAGTATATTTTATATAGACTGAGACAAAATTTTTTTCATATGTTTACTTTTTATGTTATAAATTATGATGAAAGTTACTCCAAATAATTCTAAAATGAAAGAGGATTTTCTTAAATTGGAAAGTTAAACGCAACATAGTGACTGGTTAGGCCAAAAAAAAAAAACGCAACATAGCGACTGTGATTATCATATAAAACTGTTACTTTACGTTCGACTTTTCGTATGCCCACAAGACTAGAGAGGGAAGGGAAGGAGCCGAGTAAATATTTCCTTCCTTCTATAAATATCAACATCAGAACAAGACATAAAAATTTTTGAAAAATTATGTTATTCACAAATTACCTTAGGCTTCGTGTAAATACATGGATCTGCTCTAATGATTTTGGAAACACACGTATATGTAAGTCGGTCAACACAAAGAAATTTGCAAGCACGACTCATGTAACCATCGTTAAATTTAAAAGAAAAGGGTGTGAAACTGGTTTAGTATGACACAATGATAATTAAATTTAAAAAAAAAAATCCAAATACGCTATCATAAGAGAGAGAGTGTAACTCGACAAGAAAAAGGTCACTGTCTTGACTGTATATAAGTACTTGACTTGGAGAAGGATTTTATATTAGACCCAACAAAAAAGAAAAAAGATAGATTGATCATCTCGACAATTAAGATCTCACTTTCCTTAGATTTGCTTTCCTCATTGGACGATAATGAATGAAGGAACCAACTTAACCCAGTAAATAATGTTATCTCATCTATTTAGTCTAATTATTGGTAAAATGATCGGCAAGTATTAACCTAATATCATGATAATTTATATAAAATGCAAGAGTAAATGTCACTAGTTTAAATGATTGGAGGGGTTTGTGGGGTATAATCAAGTTGGTAGAAAGAAATAATAGTATCAACTTTAATTTGATTTTTTGGCTGATTTGATGTGTCCATTTTCATTGGATTTGGAAGGGCTTAATTTGAAGGATCTGGAGAAACAAAATGGAGTCACATCTCCACGATACGAGCCTGGTAAAAGGATTCGAAGCACTTCTTTTGATTTTAGCTTCAAAGCCGGGACACCAGCTTCTTGAATTCAAAGCACAAATTCCTTTTCATCTTTTAATTTTCTCTCCTTTTTTTATTTTGTTTTGGATTTTCCTCGGTCAAAATTCGATTCCCGCACAAGTAAGTCATGGAAAAACTCGCTCAAAAAGGGTCAGATTTTCATACTTTAATTTTTCAGAAAAGGCCAAGTTCTTCAAAAATAAATTATGGGTTCCTTTCTTTTTCCCTTACAAAAAATTGGGTCCTCACAAATGGAGTGGAGTAGTTTTCCCCCGCTCTCAAGATGAAAGATAAGATGATATTGGTGGATATTATAGAGAATGAGTGGGTGGATGAAAAATTATGAAAGGAAGAGAATGGAGAAGCCCCAAAGTAATGGGAAAGGGTTAATGGTGAGAGTAAAGGAAGATAATGTTTGAAGAGCATCTTTGGCAGACAAGTTAGGTGATTTTATGTTATTGATGCGATGGGACTTAAGGTTTCATGGAATCTCCTCTCCTTCCTGTCCTTTCCTCTGCAAACACAGAAAGCTATTCCCTTTTCTGATCTTCCCTCCTACTTTCATCCCACATGGCCCCACATTTCACCCTCAAGTTACTCAGTAATATCTCCTGTGTCCAATTAATGAACGGGCAATATTATTCTCACTGACATCACTATTAAAGGAGAAGGGAAAGGGAAAACAAGGAGCGAGGCATATTATGTTTAAGATTTCGGTTCCAATGAACTTAAGAGGCAATTGGCCTACTTAAATATACTAATTTCACATGCTTTTGTTTACCAAGTGCGTTTGTTGGACCTGAAAGATCTCGAGACAAGAGATTCTCTGAAAGCACGGGCATCCCCATCTAGTTCATGCAAGATTCTCCTTTTATTTTTAAGAAAACGAATCTGATATTTTGGAAAACCGTGGGCTCATCAAATCAAAGTTGGTCGTGATGGGGGTGGTGGTGAGAGGCCATGAACTTGTGTCTTCTGATACGGGGAGGAATTAGGATTTCCAGAAAAAGGAGAGAAGGGCGTATGAATGGAGTCTAGAATAGCGGCGAAGGAAGTGAAAATTGAAAAATTGAAATTCAAAGTGAAAAAGGAAATGGGATGAAAAGGGGATGCTTTCTACCAGAAAGAGGATGGAAGAATGAAGGAAAGAGAAAAGGAAGAGGAACTTTATGGGAGTCAAGAGAAAGAAAGAAGGGAGGGGCACGTAATAGGCATTTGATAAAGGGGGAGGGGAAGGGCAGGCACAGGGACGTGCACTCACTCCAACACATGCTGGTGGTAAGGGCCTAGTGGGGTTAGCTGCATAAAAAGACAATCCCAAAAGCTTGCTCCTTCCATTCAATTCAGAATCCGCACAAAGGTATTTGGTCAAATCTCTTTGATTTAACCAATCTAATGTCCCTACTCTTCCCACGCCTTTCAACTCTCTCTCTCTCTCTCTCTCTGAGAGGCCAAATGAAACTGTTTCCCTTCCCCCACTTTTTCCTTACAAAATTTATGCTCTGCGCAGAACCTGCCAAATTCCCTAACCCAGAAAAGATTCTCATCCGTCAATGTTTAGGTTAGAGCTATACAATATTGAGAGTGAACATTCTCCATGCAAGTTTCCCGCCTTTTTCCTTCCTCGGGATCATTTACAAAGTATGAGACAGTATTCACTAGTCATTATCAAATAGGCTACTCGTTATTTTACCTTTCTCTATAAAACTGAACAAGGGTAGATTTGAAAAAAGAGTATAATTTTTTTGAAAAGATTAAGATTATTAACCATCTTAACTACATTTTTTAATTTATAAGATTCGATTAAAAAGGTTATATATTTAAGACCGGGAGTATGTGTTTAAATTAGGATTGCGTAACCAGTTGCTCATTTACTCTTTAAGCTATGCCCAGTAACGCCAAAATTCCCTCACTCGCGGGAATTTCAAGTTGCTCAGTGGGCCTTAATGTACTGGGAAAAAAAGAAGTATTGTATACGAGTCAAGCTCAACTGGCTTTAACCCCATTCCAGGGTATAGGAATATATTCTTATGTTTTTCTCCCCGCCTCGTGCTTTCATTTTTTTTCCGTTTAATAGTATAAACGTATTGTGAGTATAAGAGATACGAGCTGGGGTCATTTTGTCAGTTTTACCTTGTTTTCTGTGGTCAGGTGTGGATTTCTGTATTCCTTGATGCTATGCCGGAACATTGTCTGTGTCGCTGTCGCCTAACCATTACACCATGGGATGCCCAGACCTGGCAGTGGCAAGCGTTTTATGCTTGTGGGGATTTGAATAATCAAGTTTTACGCTTGTGATAATTGCTGTAAAATCTCAAATAAAAAAAAATTAATTACTGAAAAGCTGATAAATTTTTATTTTAAGTATGTCGAAAGAATATTTTGAGTGATTTTTAGGAGTTATCAATAACATTTTGAACGGTTTTTAAGAGTTAACTTAGCAAATTAATCGGGGGATTTTATTATAAAATTTCATAGCTTTGAATCAAAATAGAAATAGTTTAGTGCAAGATATGAATAAGTAATTTTAAAAAAAAAACAGTTCTGAAACTAAAGAAAAATATAAAAGTCCTAGTATTTTATTCTATATTTATTTTGTTTCTTCCTTTTTATTTGTATCAATCCTTTTCTTTTACCATGAGTGACGTGATTTTTTTTTTTTGAGCTGAGGAAAATGAAGTTTAGAATTTAGAAGGAACGACAGCGTTTGTGAGTGGCGGTGGGAAGGGTTTTGAATGGGTTACTGTTCGTAATCATTTTCGGTGCCGGGGGTGGTTCAGAGGGAAGAAAGGGGCCGACACTGTTCTGTATGATCTTCTTCTTCGCTGGACTTGGGGAAAAACGACGACTGGTTCTGCGAGGACAGACGCCGAGCTGGTTCGAAGAGAAAGGGCTGGAGAAGGATCATCATCTTTGGCAGATCTTGGAGGACGAGGTTGACTGAGCTGGAGAGGAGAGATTGGGCACGGTGATTTTCTTATCTGAAAAGAGAGAGACACCATCGATTATCAGTTTGAAGAAGAGCAACTGTTCATCATCTTCAATATGGAAACACGCGACCTATATAGCTGAGCAATATTTTGACTCCCTCTTTGTCTGTTTCGGTTCCTCTTTCCTTTGCTTTTGATTTGCATCATGGGTTTCAAATTTGATGTTGTTGCTTCAAAGCTGAGACTGATTATATCCATATATAGCAAATTTCTCTTCTCAAGAACTGTAAACTTACTAGTAGATTGAGCTTTGTTTTTAGTAAACTGAAGATGTTTAATGTTAAATTTGGTTGTTCAATTTTGTTTTAGTTGTTCCTTGACGAAGTGAATTTGAGAATTAAAGTGGGCATTGTAATTAAACTCTTAAAAGTAGTAATATGAAATTAGATGATAATATAATTTGTATTAGGATGATAGTATACCTAATTGTCTCGGATAATTGAGGATGAATGAGATCAAATTATTTAGCCTCTTAAATAATTATACTAGAGATAACATAATTAATTTAAGAAAAGATTATAAACAGACCAACAAGTATTTATAGCTAATTATACTTTAGATTAATAAATTTAACATTAAAACTAATCAATTTAGTTAAAGGATTGATCATTTTAGATGGTCTTTTTAATATTTGCTTTAATTAATTTGAGAAAGGTTTATATTGTTTTATTTTAATTTTTTTCACTCAATTTAAATTTAAACTTGATTTTTTTAACTTAAATAAAAAAAAAATTTATTACTTAATCACTGCTAACTGAGTTTTTTCATAAGATTGACCCTAACTTGTCACTATTATTTTAATGTTCACACACTTGCAATACCTTGAGATTTCGTAGCATCAAAAGTATCCATACACATAAAACAACAAAACAATATAACAATATGTAATAACAAGTTTTAAAATAACAGTGATAAATTAGGGTCAATCTTATAAAAACTCAGTTAGCAATGATAGAATAGCTTTGAGGAACTTGAGACGGGTCACCCGACCCAAGGATGGATGCAGGTCATTAAACGTGTCAAAGTGGTCAACAAAAGGTCCCCAAAATAGCCACAAACCACCATCACCATCACCATCATATTACATCATCTGATATTGATAACAAGAGCCTGGAAAAGGAGAAATAACGCCGATTGGTTAAAATCCATCAAATTTGAGATACTTATCTGATTCTGAGAATATTTGCAAGGCTCTTCTCTGAGGTACATGAGTTGAATAGAGCCTCCAGTTCAGCAACAACTACTTGTGGATGCATCAGACGGTGGTGGCTTCTCCTTAAAAATGTTCTTTTTGACTCCTTTAGAGCCCTCCGCTAAGAGGCTAGGTGTATCCAGAATCTGCCAAAAATCATCAAGAAAAAAAAAATTAAGCATTGCCAGTGCGACTGTTGATAGCTTTTCTCGCACCAGCAAGCCTTTCAATGAGACCACTTTTGGGGGGGGGGGGGGTCCCTATCCTGGGGGTTGAAGGTGTCAAGCAAAGAGGGTAAAGAGAAAGAAACTTGCTTGCGTCTTCCGTATAAAGTAGTAACTATATCGATATATAATATAAACATTTTAACAAGTGCTATTCATGCAATATGGCTCATTTCTCAGATTTCAAGTAACGCACAAAGCCATACTAGCTATATCAATGACACAAAATTTGTTATTCCCATTTGTTGGCCGTTTTGCACCTCGAGGTAATTTTCTCAGGTGTGCAGTCATACTAATGATTTTTTTCATCATATATGACGCAGATGAAGATTCACCAATAAAATTAAAAAAAAAAATTAATATGATCACATGTAAATAAAATAAAACAAACTTGCTTGCGTCTTCCGTATAAAGTAGTAACTATATCGATATATATATAAACATTTTAACAAGTGCTATTCATGCAATATGGCTCATTTCTCAGATTTCAAGTAACGCACAAAGCCATACTAGCTATATCACACCTCGAGGTAATTTTCTCAGGTGTGCAGTCATACTAATGATTTTTTTCATCATATATGACGCAGATGAAGATTCACCAATAAAATTTAAAAAAAAAAAAATTAATATGATCACATGTAAATAAAATAAAACACATGCAGTATACTGATTGCAGACAAAAATATTTTTATCTTGGGCATATATATCGCTTAGCATACCTTCAAAACAAGCTCTTCAAAGCACTGCTGTACGTTGACTCTAGTTTTAGCACTGCATTCAATAAATAGGCAACCATATTCCCGGGCAAAATCTATCCCCTCTTTCTTTGTCACAACCCTATCACTCTCCTGAAAATTAATCAAATATTATCCACCTGTGCATTAAATCCCTCCATAGAATGAATAGGAATACAAGTACATTTCAGATATGATTTATAAGTCAGAATAAGATGTGAATGCAACAGGGAGCCAATTAGACGCGTTCAAGAATTGATGCTAGAATCCTAAATCTGAGAGGGCATAATAGAAATGAATCTACAAGATACAACGGGGATTCCAAGTGATTCAGGATTTACATTCGCTCAGATTTCCAGGGAACGTCTGCATCTAGTCCTGTCTCCTCGCCTAATTTTTGTCCGTTTATAATATAGCATGAATGTTGAGTAGCTCAAACATTGAATGTCAAACACAAATACAAGGGGGAAAAGAGATCGCTGAAACAAAATCGTGAAAGTCTTTGTTTTTTAGTGTATAGATTCGTGGAATTATAACTAGTTGAGATCTTGATGTGATTGAGGAATACAAAAGATGAATATACATACAGAAGTGAACGTGAAGGGAGAAAGGGGGTGGGGAGTATGATTGTAAATTTTGTTGAAGAAAGATACCTTATCAACTTTATTTCCCACAAGCATCTTGATGCAATCTTGATTCGTAGAATAGAGGTCTATTTCCTTTGCCCATACTTCAGATAGATTTGTAAATGTGTCTCGCCGAGTCACATCATAAACTGCAACACATGGAGGAACAAAAGGGAGACACCATCACTTACTTTATAAAATTCCAATATAACACCTAATGGGACAAGGGGACGATTCTCCATGACCAAACAACACATTACATCCGGTACCAATTTTCAGGCCATATTCTCCTTGAATGCCACCATTAATTAGCACCATAGGCAAATCATCATTACTTTGAAAGGATTACTTTCACATACGGCTTGATGATGACTGAGTTTGACATATAATTCCATAGCTTAGCATGTGAGGCAAGAGAAAGGGGGAAGTGGTTATTATTTTTCATTATTTTTAAGTACTTAAAAACAGATATTAATTTTAGATGTTTTATTGGATTGTTCTCGGTAATTTTTAGTGGAAATGGCAAAACATGATATAACTAGAGTCCTATTAGAAAACTTGATTGCTTGGGAAAGTTCTAGAAGACTATGTACAGCTCAGTGCAGTTTAATTAATTATATATTCTTATAAAAGGGCGTAAAATACTTTCAGGAACGAGTCAACTCCACGGATTTTTTGCAAGTCCAAGTAAATTCCATACTTCCTACCTTGTAAATTATAGGCCAACTACAATAATCTTTAATGAAAGCTGCCTGCCTCCATTCTATATGTCAACATGAAATGAAAATTTAGCTTAAACTTGTCTTTCCCCATCCTTTTAGAATTTTTCTCCTTCCCCTCAAACCTGCAATCACTGTTTCAAATTGCCGGCTAATCTTCTCATTTGTTGGCCTCCGGCCTTCCCATGTGAGTAACTGAGTACGCATCATTGTTTCCCCTGCTATGTCTTTCTTTAAAAACTCCATGCCTTCCATCAACTTTTGGTGTTTTCAATTTAGGCTATTTAAACCATATAAAGCAAGTCAAAATTCCAAGAATGCAGCCTGAGTTGGTTTTCTAAATATATCAGTCATTATTAACCTTCTAATGATATGCACTGCACTTTCAAATAGCTGGTGCAATGAAAGTGCCACGCACTATAGCATTTTGGAGCCCTCAGCACTAGCAATGGCACTATGCACTATAGATCACTAGTGCCAGACTTCCTCTCAACCTCATAGATTGACTTTTATAAGCAAGGCAAACTTCATACTTCTTTCCAACTTGCTAATGAAAAAGAGTGCACGAAATTCCATCCAATTCAACAAATATATGATTGAGAGCAATGACTGAAAAAACTAGAGATAAATCAGATAACAGAAACTTGCCCATGATGATGCCTTGTGCCCCTCGGTAGTAAGAACTAGTCAGTGTTCTGAATCTCTCCTGACCGGCTACATTAGCAAACAAGTAGTTTCAATCAAATAGTTACGCGTTGTTGTCAAAATGCAGTCAGGACAACTAAGCAAGGAGTTCGATTGAAATGTACAGAATCAAACATCATGGGATCTAGGAATAAACATATATTACCTGTATCCCAAATGGCCAGCTTCAGCCTTTTACCCCCCACTGTGACATACTTGACCTTAAAATCAACACCTACATGAGCAGCCAAATAGTACAAGAAGTCAAGAAGCAAAAAAGCTAAAATATGAGATCAGCTCATCCATGGCTGATGTGAGCACGTTTTTAAGGCACGACAGCCAAATCATCTTATTATAAACAATCAGACCTGTTGCCGAGTAAGTAAAAAGGTGATATTAGAACGCATTGCGAAAAGAAACAGACATGCTTTGTTCAGACGATCGGTCTTCAGAAATTTGAACACAGAAATTGGAAACAACATATACTAACTCTACATATAGTTGAATAAAATCAGATCATTTAGCAGTTGAGTGAACTGAGTCATAGTTGAAAAAAATCAGATCATTTAGCAGTTGAGTGAACTGAGTCTACACTAATACGATACCATCTTCTCAAATTCATTAGCTATTGATTCGTACCTAAGATGCAGGAATACCCAAAAGCCACAAATCAAAAGACATGCCAAGAGAATTAAAATAAATTTGCTTCTACAAAGCCTAACTATTGTGGGACTGTGCCAAAAACTATAGTAAAAACATTTCGGATCAGAAAGCAGGTAACTGAGCTAAGCCCGCGCTGATACTACAGCTTATTCCCAAATGCATAAGCTTAGATTCATCATGAAGAGACTGGACACATAAATGACACAGATCAAGGGACAACCCGAGAATTAAGGTAAATTCGCTTCCGAAAAGGCGAAAACCTACCGATTGTGGGGGACAGATCTTCATAGGTATCTGAGATGAAACTCAGAAGCAGACTACTTTTACCGACTCCAGAGTCCCCAATCATAAGCAACTTAAACAAATAATCGAATTCCGCCTGGCTCGACGAAGTCGAATCCATCGCAAGTGACCTTCGATCAACGGGAAGAATAGGCAATGGCTCTCACCTGAACACCATCCAACCACATGTATACCATCAAGCATTCGTTCCCGGGAAAATCAGTAAGTTAGCACCTCCGGTCCTAATTGTAAGACGACCGGAGGTAGTATAATACAATAACTACAAGAAATCCCCATGCCTAGGCAAATCAATTGTTCATCTTAACATTGATTTTTAAAAAATAAATATTGTTCAATTGAAAAAAAGAGAAAATCTTATGATCCAGTGAGTTATGAAATTTCTACTGACCAAAAACCGTAAGGTCGGCTGGAAGAGAGACAATACCAGAAAAGTGAAATCCGGAAGGAGAGGGGAAAGTCAGGATTACGGCAGGGGAGGGGAGTGAAAACTGAACGAGGGAAAAAGGGCAGCCGCGTCCGAGTCACCGGGCGCTGCTCGAGTTATCTCCCGCTTTAACTCAATCATTTATTCATGAATGAATATTAGCTTTGTGAATCTCTGACATGATTTTCATCCAAACACCTTTCAGATTAAGAAGGTTTACGTAAGTTAGTTAATTATAAAAAATATGACACGTTTTTCTAAAACATCATAATCATCTTTCTTAATACCCCATCTTCCTCTTCTACTTGATTATGATTGAGGGAGTATTTATAATGGTAATTTAGAAAAAATTGATAAAGATGATAAATGAGTTTTATTTTAAGACCAAAACCAACTCAATAATTGAGCTTTATATTAAGGATCGGATGAATATTACTCCTCCAGTCCTTAATATAGGACCCAATTGGTGAGATGGTTTTGATTCTAAATATAAGACACATTTATCATATATTCATATTTATCAATTTTCTCTAAACTACCCCTATAGATACTCCCTCAATCATAATCAAGTGTAGAAGAGTGAGAGGGAGTATTAAGAAATATGATTATAGTGTTTTAGGAAAAATGTGTCACATTTTTTATAATTAACTAACTTACCTAACTTCTTTAATTTAATTAAATTAGTTAAATGGGTCTTATATTAAAGACCGGAGGAGTATAATTTAATTAAATATTTAATTAAATTCTAAATATAATACTTGAATTTATTTTGTCTTGTATATATTTTTTACTAAGATAATATTCATGGTGATTTCATGTGTTAAATAATTTTTATTCCCATTCATATCATTAATAATAATATTTTTAAAAAATTATTATAAATAAATAATCTAATTAATTTTCTTGATATTAACAGATTGGTTGTTTAGTTTTTTTAATCTATGTAGTATTTTATAGTTTTTTTTCTTTTGCCAGCTGCAGTTTCAAAATGGACAGGTGAAAAACGATAATAAAAGCCATTAACGGTCGAGTTGAGTTCTTGCACATCCGCCCAGATTGTAAAATCGATCCCAGCTGAGAATCTTAGGGAAAAATTCATCATCCCTCAAAATTACCAAATTGCCCGACCTTCTGAGGCTTTTTTTTTTTTCCCCGATGCTCAAATGAAAGAAAACAGCTGATAACAGATTGTGTGAAATTAGTGTAAAACAACATGGCATAAGCTCATTAGTCAAGTCATGTTCCATGGTCCCCTCTTTATTTTACTGCACCCGCCTATCAATATACTTTTCCGGTCTTTAGTATATGACTTATTTAACTACTTTAATTATATTAAGAAAGTTAGGTAAGTTAGTTAATTATAAGAAATATGACACATTTTTTTTAAAATATCATAATCATCTTTCTTAATATTCCATCTTCCTCTTCTACTTGATTATGGTTAACAGAGTATCCATAAAGGTAATTTAGAGAAAATTAATAAATATGAGAAATGGACCTTATATTTAAGATCAAAACTAACTCAACAATGGAGTCCTATATTAAGAACCAGAAGAGTAATATAAGAACTAGTTTGTAGTATGTAAATTACATCATAAACTAACTTATATATTTAGAATTTGAGGTAATACCCATCTAGTTCTTAATATAAAATTTATTTTATAGTATAAATTATACTACAAAATGAATGTATGTTTAGGATAGAAGAGTATTATTAATATTAGCCGCGGGGTGCATAAATCAATGAACAAACATGTCGGCTTCTTTAAAAACTTGTCCACATACATATTAACTTAAAATGGTGCGTAAGAAATGGCCATGCTGGACATGTGGGGGTTTCTATTTATGAAGGCATCGCCGCAAGGCTAATTCTATGAATGGAAAGCATGATGAGCTCCTTGCCCTCTTGTGTCACTGGTTCCAATATGAAAATAAACATGGTTCAAATGAATACTGATCGTCTGAGCAACAGCGTTAATGAATAGCTCAATTTCTTCACCAAGCTATCTTCAATTATTTTTATTGCGCTTTTTGTCACTTTTGCGGGCTGTTTCATTTAGAAGATCTGAACCATTCATGTCGCACTTGGATGGTCATGGTTTGATTTCTTTTTTATTTTTATTTGTTTATAATAATTATTTTAATATGAATGAAATATAAAATAAAGATAATTTTTTAACTATCATTTTTTCAAAAAATAGTTTTTTCTATTTAAAATAAAAAATTAAAGATTTTAAATCATGACCGTTCAAATCAAATATAGACGATTCAAATTTAATGAGTTTAGGATACTTATCAAAATAGTAAGTACCAAAATTGGCTCCAGTTTAGTGCACCATAACTCTTATTTCCTCCTATTTGTATATGTGCTAGTTTTTTATTTTTTTTTTTCCTGACCTTGATATGCACTAGTTAACATGTCCTTTTCCTGACTTTTCTTTTGAATCATTTGATTTCGTTTGGTATGAAATATTAAAAATAAGGGATTAAGATTAGAATTATAATTAAAAAATTATTAAAATAGTATTAAGCATGAGTAATTACTTTTTACATGAGATTAGACAAACTTATAGAGGTGGGATTGAGAAATACCATAGGAGAAAAACCTATAGATGTGGGATTCCCCACTTCCCTTCATAGTATTCCCCAATTCCACATATAACAAGCAATCTCTTATGCTAAACACTCTTTTAATAGATTTTCTCAATCACAATCACAATTACAATCTCAGTCTCTAATTTTCAATACTTCATATCAAACACAACTTTTAAGCATTGTCTTCAAGAACAACATATGTAGTAAAAACAAAAAAGTCCCGTCCTTCGCTTTCTTGATAAAAACTATTTAAGCAATTAGAGTAGATTAGAAAATCAAGTGAATTAGTTAATTATAATAAATGTGATATTATTTTTTTTAAATATTCATTTACAGCATTAGATTGTAAATTAGTTAAATTAATTTTTTAAAATAAAAAATATAATAAACAAAATGAACTAAAAATTTTATATCTAAAACTGGATTCGATTATCTAGCAAGATAGCTCCTATATGAGAATTAGGATGGAATAGCTCCTCTCCAATAAAAACCTCTTTCCGGATCCATTGGTCCCCATCATCCATGTCGGCACCAAGGTAACCCCCTTCCCCTGCCTTGCTTCCCCCCCCCCCCCCCCGGGCGGGGGAAGATCCAATCTTATATTCTGTGAACCGGGATGTTGGGCATACAGCTGGGCGTAGCCGCGTAGACGTTGACTAGAGATAGATCCTACTGCGATGACATGAGAAGTACATTTAAAAAATATTTTTTTTAAATGGAGATAAATTCTTTTATATATTTACTTAATATACCATACCGTAAAATCACTTCTGAAACTATGGTTTAATTTCTATCGAAACACCCCCTTAATATGCTGACTTTACTTGGCTACAAGGGAGTATTTGGTTTATATTTTAAAAGTGTTTTCATATAAATTAAGATAAAATTTTTCTCACATACTTATTTTATACTACCTCCGGTTCTAATTATAAGAGCTAGTTGACTAATTTGAGGATATTAAAGAAATAAGTTAAGTTAGTTATTTATAATAAATAGATATTATTTTTCCTAAAATATCCTTACTAATTAAGTGTATCAGCTAGGACATCATTATTAGAAAAACTATTTAAAAAAATGTATAAATATTAGAAACAAAGTGGATTAGGGTCTTATATTTAGCACCAAAATAAAAGTTAAACAAGATCTTATATTAAGGACCGGAGGTAGTATATCATGAAATTACTTTTAAAATGATTTTTACCCAAATGCCTCAAATCGTAAAGTGGCATGAGTATAAATTTGGATATTCCCCTTCTCCGGTAATTTGAGGCAGAGCAATATAATTCTTCCCGGTCACCAAAAAAAAAAAAAAATCCCTCCCAGGTCATTTTTCCCCAGTTGTCATTTCTTGTACCCAACAAAGTCCGTAATTGACACCTATTTTTTTGAGTCTAAAAGGTAGCAATCGAAGATTTTGTGTCAAAACTTGTTAACTTGCCATACATCATATGTTAACACATAATTAAAGCTAATTAAATAAATTAATCCTGTATATCGAGATCTTATATCATGGTCTGGGTCAATAAAAAAAAGAAGTTAGCTGTAGTTTTTACGTAATAAACTCACTTATCTGCCTCTAGGTAACAAAGTACGATCAACCTAACATTTTTATCAAAAACACTAATCATGAATTAAATACTAGCGTGGGGACAAAAGTCATGTGGAGGCCTTAACGGTGCTTTATGCCCGTCATTTTAATGATAGGTCATGAAAAGCAGAGTCTGAGAGAATATAAAACATTACTCCCTCTTTTTTTTATTATAAGAGATAAATAACCGAATTACGTTGATAAAAAAATAATTAAAATTAGTTAAGAATAATCAATATGTAAAAATTATAATTTTTTTTTTAAAAATACGCTCATTAATAAGAAGAGAAAGCATGAGAGAGAACAATTAAATTATTAAAAGAAAGAGAAGTAGGAGGGAAAGGGAGTGTGAGTTGGAGACAATAAATATGGATAAAACAGGAAATTAACAAAAAAAAGTAAAGACAATTTTTAAGTGTCTCTTATATATAGGAACATGCCATAAACATCAAATGTCTCTTATAATAAGAAACGGAGGGAGTATTAGTTAAATTATTTAAAAAAAAAATCGGAAATCAGGACGATCCCGTGATGAGCGGTCTCTAGTGGTGCCAGGCAGGCAGCCAGATGCGTGCCAGAAAATGAAATTTATTAAATCTAAAAATAAATAAGGATCTGAAATTAATCGAATGAAAACTCGCCACGTAAAACAAACATGCGGGACCCACAGGGCAAATTCTAAGAATTTGCAATTTCTATCTTTCCAATGAAACGCGCCGGGATACTGCAATAATTCGCTCTTTCTCTTTCCTCTTCTTTCTTTTTGCTCGTCCCCCCGCCCGCGCATCCTCCGTTGGCCCTCACGTCCCCGCATCAAAAGCCGACAACATCCCCACTGTTTCATTTGCAAAGTCAAAACTCAAAAACCTAACACTTCTTTCCTTCGCCAAAATTCTCCACCGCCATTTTCAGTTTTCAAAGAATAGCAATAAGACATTTTGATAGTACTATATAATATACATATAGTTCTTATTTTTTTTGTGTGAGACGCAATGCAAGGATCTTAATCAGCATACTAAATAGAGTGGTGTCATCAGATAACACTATTCTAGGCATTCTCGTTACATCCAAGATACTATTCAAAACGGGAGAGCAAGGAATGATCTCAGCATAGCAAATCCCGCCACCTATATTTCTATGATTTTATTGACGTGATCAAGGAATCGGAAAAAGGGTGTGTTTGGTGCTGCCATGATGGGTAATTTTACGAGACCCTCATGGGCAGTGATGTTTTTGTTGTTGGCTTTGGTGACGTTTGTCTCGCTCCAGCGTCCCGGGATGACGGTTTTTCCGATATGGTTGCGTTCGAGTTCGTCGGAAGCCGAAACTGGCGGGTCGGAGGATTCTCCGAGCTGCTCCGGTTATTTTCAGGGCGTCACCGGAAGAAAGTTTGTCATGTCGATCAAGGATTTTGGCGGCGTTGGTGACGGGAGAACTTCGAATACCGAATCGCTTCGGAAGGCTATACGGTACATGCAGCGTTTCGGAGGTACGGGTGGGTCCCAGCTGAATATTCCCAGAGGAAGATGGCTCACTGGAAGTTTTAATCTCACTAGTAATTTCACGCTTTTCCTTGAAGAAGGCGCTGTTATTTTGGGTTCTCAGGTGCGCAGTATTGTCTTTCCTCATAACGTTCTTTATTTTTGCCAACACTTCTTTTAGTTTTCATCTGGCTCGGTTTTTAGATGCGTTTTATTCTTGAACTGTAATTATTGCGACTTAAAATCAACAGCGTACGTATGGTTATCGCCATGGCTTCTTCATGTATAATTCTGCTTGTCATCTTTATTTGTCTTCTTGAAAGATCAGATTCCTTCCTGTCGATTTGACCGTTAAATGAAAAAGGAATATGTTCAAGAAACTGTCTTCGATGTTTCTTTTCTGAGTTTCACAGTTTTCGGTTGATGAAGAAAACTCTTTAAATTTTCTTGGCTACTTGTTCATTTGTTCATTCCAATTCAATTGTGGCATATAATTAATGCTGACGATGGCGCGCATTTTTTCTAAGGGAAAAGAAACATTTGTTCTTTTCGTTTTCTGAGAAAGGTTTGAGAAAAAAAATGGAGAAGTCATAGTTTCACACCCACGCCTCTTCCTTTTCTTGATCTTTCCGCGTAGAATTAGTGAGAAGGTTGCTTATTTGACTTCTTTTGCGACAAATAGTAGGACTAGAAAGTCCTTTTACATCCTCTGTTTTAAATCTCCACTTATTGTGGCTTCAACCATACTTTAGGAAACTTGATGGAACTATAATTCATAAGCATAGTGCTGCATTTGGGACCACATGGCGAAGCAGATGAATGGTTTTCAACAAAGTGTTAAACGCCTTTGAATTTACATGCCGGCCTGTTTACTTCTTCCTTTCTTGTTTAGAGCCACCCGATTCTATGGTAAATCTAAACAAGCCCTTCAACGAGATTATGGAAATCAGACACTCACTCTGGCGGACCTGTTCATAGTACCCAAGGAACTGCTTTCTTCTTCTTTTTTTAATCAAAATTTTTTTTAACAATTTAAAAGTTTTGATTCATAGGATCCAAAGGAGTGGCCTTTAATTGAGCCATTGCCGTCTTACGGAAGAGGAAGAGAAAGGTCCGGAGGAAGACATATTAGCCTTATACATGGAAATGGCCTTCAAAATGTTGTCATCACAGGTACCAGAACTTGTACTCGTCTCCAACTGTTTCACTTAGAGCAACGGTATAAAGTTTCTGAAGAAATGTGTGACGATATTTCACATGACTTCCGTGAAGAGTCCAGATTCCGCGGACTACTCTTGTTGGTTAAATAAGTAATATGGATAAATGTTGCCGTTGTCTTCAAGGGTATCTAAGTAGTTATATGTTTTTGCAGGACAAAATGGGACAGTTGACGGTCAGGGAAACATGTGGTGGGAACTTTGGTGGAACAAAACTTTGGAGCACACAAGAGGTCACCTCCTTGAGCTAATGAACTCGGAAAATGTTCTAGTCTCAAACCTCACCTTTCGAAATTCTCCCTTCTGGACCATCCATCCTATTTACTGCAGGTTTCATCTTCTTGAATTTTTCTCTCTTCAACTGGCATAACTTGACTTCAAAACTCCATATGCATTTGTTCTTCTTTCTTATCATGAAAGAATTTCTCAATTTCTCCATGCAACAGCCAGCTTTTGATGCTCTGTGACATAGTTTATAATTCAGTTCAAATTCTCTAGGTGCCGTTTAGTACATGTCACAGTTATGTAAGCATTTGGTCCTAGGTACAAAGATATTCTTTTTGAAAAAAATATAATTAAACTGAACTCCTTTAAGTTCGACTTGTCCGTCCTTAGCTTAGTAACTGCAGAACCATGATCATCAACCATATCTTGTTTCAGAAATGTTGTTGTCAAAGGGATGACAATCTTGGCTCCTCTCAATGCCCCAAATACTGATGGTGTAGACCCAGGTTTGTTCCTTTTTGATTATTTATCACTTGCACTCTGTTTTCCAGCTTTGCTTTGGGGCTTATTCTGCATGAAATCATGTAAAGAAATGGAAGATTTGTTATATTTGCTTGCTTGTGAATTTCCCATCTGACTATGCAGACTCAAGTACCAACGTGTGCATTGAAGATAACTACATAGAAAGTGGGGATGATCTTGTAGCCATCAAAAGTGGTTGGGATCAATATGGAATCACCATGGCCCGTCCAAGCACCAATATTGTAGTGAGGAGAGTTTCAGGCACCACACCAACTTGTTCTGGTGTCGGAATAGGCAGTGAGATGTCCGGTGGAATTTCAAATATAACAATTCAGGATTTGCATGTTTGGAATTCTGCAGCTGGTGTGCGTATAAAATCTGATTATGGTAGAGGAGGGTATATAGCAAATGTCACCATTAGTGACATAAGAATGGAGAGAGTCAAGATACCCATCAAGTTTAGCCGTGGTTCAAATGACCATCCTGATGATGGATGGGATCCAAAAGCTGTTCCCGAGTTTAAGCGCATTTTAATCAGTAACGTGACAAGCGTAGTTTCAGCAAAAGCTGCACTTATGGAAGGTATCAAGGATGCTTCATATGAAGATTTGTGCTTCAAAAATATTACCCTGATGGGTGTGCGCTCATCTGCGGCATGGCATTGCGAGTATATTTCAGGCTTTGCCAGTGAGGTGTTTCCCGTGCCATGTCCTGAGTTGCATAACAATGGCACTTCATCCTGGTGTTTACCTTCATGACTTCCCGTGAAATGATAGTGAATGTTTCCAACATGCACTGGGAAATCAGAGGGTTTCCATTTTTGCACATTGAAAAGTTAAGTCTTGCTTGAGCCGGATTATTGGAGGCTTTGAACCACAAAAACGTGCGACTGAATTGATCTTAGGCCTTGAAGGAAAGTGATCTTTTAGGCCTGGTTGGCGCAGATGAATTGCCGGTGAGTTTATGGCTGCAATATGCAAAGTTTCATTGAACTGATGCCATGCCCTGTGATTCCCCGTGGTAGCAAGATGCGTGCAGATGCGCCTGATTGAACCAAGGTGTATAGGATGATGCAACTTTTGTCATTATACGCTGAATTACTGATGTATAAGAACTTTTCTTCTTTGGGAGAGAGGAAGAAGTTGAGTATTGATAAATCCCAATTTTAATATACTATTTGATATCTTTTTGGGGATATTTATCAATTAAAATGAGATAATTTGTATTGATTGTGGATATTTTGAATTAAATACTAGTGGCATAAAATTAGAAATTTAATAGGAAATCTTATCATATTTTTATCTTCATTTAAATAATTAATTTTAGACTTTATGATAGTATCTTAATTTATCTTTTACAGGTCTCAGAAAAGGAAATAAATATAAAAGGAAAGCTGAAGGGAAAAAAAAAGAAAAGAATTTAAAAAGAAAAAAAAAGGAATTAAGTGATGGAAGCCACAGATTTGCATTAGGTTATTATATTAACCTAATCATCAATTGCCATAGGAGGAGGCTACATATACGCACACGAGGACGGCCAATACCCTTCAAAAATTCATTCTTCAAGTTCGCACAGACACCTCCGCCGCAACACTTCAATTTCAATCTTCCAAAATTCATTTTCATATTCTTCCTCAACCAACCATCCTCCATGGCTGCTAAATCTTTGGCACGAGTTGTAGCTTGGTTCAAGACTATGAGAGGCTGAGTTCGCTGTGCTCTTCAGGATTGAATTCAATGGCTTGAGTTTGAGAGCTACAAAGGGGAGTTTAATTCTAGTCCTTAGTTTAGACTATTTTGTTGATGATTTCTGGTTTGAAGTTTGTTATATTTGGTTTAAAGCTAAGAATTGCTAGTTGTAATTCTTGGTTTGGATTGGAATTGCTGAGATTTGGATTGGTATTTATAAGTTTGAGTACTTGGTTTATACATATATTTATGTTTATACCTTTGTTAATTAGTGTGATTTTTATGCGAGTTGTATAGAAATTATGCTTGAAGTGAATTTAACAAGTAATTAATGTTCTAGTTGAGTATTAATTTAAAAGGAATAACTTATATAAACCAGTCTTAACCACTTAAGTTACTCCCATATCATTAAACAAGTTAGGATAGTCATTGATTCATTCCTCAAGAGCATTCTTGTTATTGATTTCTTACGATTCAAATTTGTATTTTTCATTCTTTCTAAAAAATACAAAAAAAAAAAGTAGTTTAGATTTATTTCTTATTCTCTTAATTAGTTTTATTAATTGAAAAATCCTTTTTCAACCCCTCCTTTCAATTCTTTGTCACTTAGTTAACTAAGGAATTAATAAAAAGCTCCTCAAAAGACTCGACCCGAGTTATGCTTTACTGCATAATTTGGTTTTATTTTTGATTTAACCTAAGACGACTAAAAATGTTCAAATCAAATATGCACAGTGACTAAACAATGTAGAAAAAATAAATTTGACGGATAGGAAAGATCATTCTTTTTAGCCCAAGATGGCATCTTTGTATCCTTTAGCGTTTCTTTGATGTCCCTTTACTTTTAACGCGAGGGAATTGAAGTATTACTCCAGTTCTAAATATAAAAGTTAGTTTGACTTTTAATTTGATTCTAAATATAAATTCTAATTTAATTCGTCCTCATATTCATTTATTTTTTTCAAGGTAGTCTCTGTAGTAATCGTACATGTTAAATGCTTCATCAAATAACACCTGATTAGTAAGGATATTTTAGGAAAGATAATAACTATTTACTCCTCCTGTCCTAAATATAAGACCCTTATACTAGTGTATATAAGGATCCTATATTTAGGACAGGAGGAATATTACAAATAACTAATTTAACTAATTTTCTTAATCTACTCAAATTATCAACTAGTTCTTATATTAAGGATTAACAGTAGTATTAACTAACTATATATTGAACATAGTTTTGCATAAACAAAGAGCTGAAACAATTTCCAGATGAATCGAGTAACTAAGTAATGGTATTGGTTTTATTACAATGGCCAACTCAATAGGATCTAAGTCACATTTCAAGAGATAAATCAGAATTTTGTGTATTGGTCATCAAAGAAAGGAGTGAGGAAGAAGACACAAAGAAAGATGAAATTCTATTTGTCAATGGAAGTCTCGTCTTATCTCTGTCTTTCTTCTCATTGTTCTATTATTGCACTCGAGGGAATTCATGCTGCCAAATGATTGACTGTGCCTAGTAACTTTTTATTCTTCATTGTACATTGAATATTACATTTTTTTCATTGTTTTGATGAATATAATAAAATAAGAAAATGCAAAGGGTTTTCTCTGCTTGAAAACAAAGATACAGAAAGATTACCTAAAAATTGACTAGATATCTTCAAATTACAATCTAAAAATGGATACTTACCTTCTCCAATAAATAATTACTCAAAACCTATTCCCTTCCTCATATAACATAAGCTACCATTGCACAGAACAGAACTGATGGTTCACATTCGGAATTTACTGAACCTTAAAGTTTCAAAATAACGAGCATGCCATCTAAGAGCAATCTTGAAATTTCAGATATTAAAGGTCTCATACAACAATGAGCTGACCCAATGTTCTGCATTGTGTTTCTTTGAAGCAACGCATTTCTTAGTTCTCCCATCACACTTCGTTGCAAAGGCAGTAGTGAACTCCAAGACAGTTGTAACTTGCATTTCGTGCAAACTCTTTTTTTTTTTTTTTGGCCAACACAAACTCTAATACAATGTTTATATATAACACTGATATTAATAATGATTCATATTATATATATATATATATATATTCACCGAAGAAGACTGTATATCATTCATTTAGAGCAAGAGAAGGAAAATGGTAGTTAAGTGGAGAGTTGAGATGAACTCGGCTGCTCCGCATTTTTTCGTGTTCTTCTTTGTTGTCTTAACAAGCATAAAAGTTTGCGTCGCAGACTGTGATAATTTGCAGGACACTTGCCCAGCAGCTTCACCTGAAGAGCAGACCATATTCATCAATGGCCTTTCCTGCAAGAACCCCGCAGAAATAGCTCCTCATGATTTCAAGAACATGGATTTCGGCGAGGCCGGTTCTACAGACAACATTGTTCGTTCCTCCATGAAAATCATCTCTGCGCCAGAATTTCCCGGTCTGAACACTCTTGGCCTCTCAATTGGTAGAACTGACATTGGTGTCGATGGGATGGTGCGACCGCATCAGCATCCAAGAGCGACCGAGATGATCTTTGTCGTCGAAGGCGTATTGGTCGCCGGATTTCTTGACACAGACAACAAAATTTTCCAGACAATGCTCAACGTAGGTGACGTATTTGTGTTCCCCAGGGGTTTGTTTCACTTCTTTCTGAATCGTGGTCGTGGGGCTGCCATACTCTTGTCTGTGTTCAACAGTCGAAATCCAGGGATGGAATCGGTCAATACCCCACCTCTAGACACAGCCATAGATTCATTACAGAAGCTGATCCCACTTTCTGATTCACATATTCATGACTTCGACAATTTTACTTGGACGGGATCCGACAGCATTTTCAGTTTTTAGCAACTTCACGACTTCCTAAATTATATAGTCCGTTTGTATCTCAGTTCTTTTTTCTTGTTTAATTGAAACATGCTACATGTGTGTGTTGGTGATTGCATGAGCTCGTCTAGTATCCTCAAGTTGGAATTTTTAATCCCGTTTAGCCCCTCGTGCATGTGCATAATTGAAGAAGGAACAGAAGCCAAGTAACAATGGAGTGAAATTCAATCCACCTTTTTAATAAACCCTCTGGGCAATTCACGTGCCGAGATGCCTAATTGCCTATCGTCACGTGTCACGACGCATGCTTCGCAAAAGAATCAAATCAGTATATTCAATTATTCATAGAGATCTATACAAAAAAATCAATGACTCTCTGGGCATGTGTGGAAGCTACTGAAATAGAAGTATTTTTTAGTTATCAACAGTACGGCTTCAAGAAATCTCACACAAATCGGTAGATAGATTTTCACTCATAAAACAAGCTGATTGGATTTTCCGAAAAGAAGTTCATACTAAATTCGAAACTGGGTCAACTTAGCTCACGAGAACAAGTGCATGTTTGTTTCCCGCATTTCCGTTCAGCTATTTTACTTCTAGGAGAATTTCGAAGCAACTTTCGTGAGAGGGAATTGTAACTTCTGGGCAAACTCTGTTTGGAATGGAAAATAAACACTTTATAAAAAGATCAGGCGTGGACCCACAGCGAAGCGAAATCTAAATTCTCCATTTGCAGAGCTCGTAAGCTATATTAAAAAAAACTAAATTCTCCATTTCAATGTTGGGGGTACAGATGATAACTCTCGATAATTGATACTCCTCCGGTCCTTATTATAAGACCCAATTTGACTTTTTATTTGGTCCTAATTATAAGACCCAATCCATTTTCTCTCTTATATTTATGCATTTTTTTCCAAGATAATCCTTCTAATAATGATAGTTTTAGCCAATATACTTAATTAGCAAGGATATTTTAGGAATAACAACACTTATTTATTATAAATAACCAACTTAACTTACTTCCTTAATCTCCTCAAATAAGTCAATTGGGTCTTATAATTAGGACCGGAGGAGTACTATTTTAGTTTCTTAATATAAAACTAAATAATTAATTTATAAATATAAAAAAATTAATAAAATCGATTATTTGTAATAAATGAATTTTGTCTTGCTTAAAATACTTGTTAATCATATGAAAAAGAGTAGAAACCCTTCAACACATAATCATCATCATGACTACTTAAGTAAAAAATAAATAAATGAGAAATAAAATAGATTTAGATCTTATACTACTTCCGATCTTTAATTTATGACCCTTTTTGACTTTTATTTTGATCCTAAATATAAGACCCTCAATCCACTTTGTCTCTCATATTTATACATTTTTTTCCGAAGTAGCCTTTCTAACAATAATAGTTCTAGTTAATACACTTGATTAGTAAGGATATTTTAGGAAAAACAACACTTATTTAAGACAAATAATTAACTCAACTTACTTCCTTAATCTCTACAAAGTAGTCAACTGGCTCTTATAATTAAAACCAGAGGTAGTATTTAATATCAAATTAAAATTTTAACTAGATCTTATATTTATAATTGTAGTAACAGACTAAATATATGACAACTAACTAAAAATCGGGCCATTAAAGAAGCAAATAATCGAATACAGAACTGTTAAACTTTAAAGGTGGACTTGGTCCATGGCCCCCCAAAAAAAAAAAAAGGCGTGCTTAGTTTCAGTGAGCATGGAAGGGCGATAAAATAAAATATGTTCAAACCAGATTGTGTCTAAATGTCTGTATTCATCACCATTTTTCTGGCAGCGGCATGCTTTGAAAGCCATGCAGTGTTATCACATTCAGAAACTGAATGATCAAAGTCGTCATACCTTTCTTACATAGAAAAAGGGCATGAATCTTTCAATTTATTTCAACTAGGCAAAAAATTAGTCTATATACATATTCCACGTGTATAAATCAATGACACTATTTCCTTCTGAGGGAACTTTGTACTTCAAAAGACCCCAAATTTGAAAAGTGGAAGATATGAACTATCAAAAGAAAAATAATAGCACTTAAATGTATGGAAATGGTAAGGATGATCAGCTGGTCAGGAATGCCTTCCAATGTACAAGAAATCCTGACAGCTGCTCCACGGCGATCATCTGAAAAGGATTTCCTAGTCTGATGGCTCCACACAAATATAAAGAAGTTTTCCTTTTGTTTTCTCCATTGTATCTCTGAGTATTGATCATCTTCTTGTATACTTATTGACGCAAAACTACACTCACACTGTCTTGGATGAAAAATAGAGGGAGACGGGAGAGAAAGATAGAGATAGAGAGGGTGCGGGGAGAGGGAACGAACAGAATTTGAGGGGGAAGAGAGCTCAGGTGCTGAATAAGCAACAAATATCAATCATCAGAGAAAAAGAAGTCATCCTGGTATATCCTACAGCCTTGAAGACAGTCCAGTAGCTAGGAAGCCTGATATTTGAGAGTTACAAAATATTCATAGGATGAAATCCAGTTAATCGGCCAGAGTTATCCCAGAATAAATTTAATATAGTCCAACCAAAGTGGTCATCTTATTCGTGCCAATCTTTTTCGTTTTCGACTCTTCCTGCGAGTAACACCAATTTTTGCAATATTGCCACCAGAAGGAAGAGCCAAAGGTGATGATCGTTTGCCTTGGTAGGTTCTACCTTTCTTTGAAACCCATTTCAAAGGCATACTTTTTACTACAGCACCAATATCATTACAGTTATTCAGTTTAACAAGTCTTTGGATTTGATCAAGCATCTGGTGAGTCCAAGCAATTGACAGATCCAATGCAACTGAATCATCCTTTGGTTTTGTCCACAGATCCATCAAAACCTCTTTAAATGATAGAAAAGATAAGGATGGCTGAGAGCCCTTACTATTTTCACAAATCATGTTTACCTTGATTACATGCTTGCAAAGGTTGCCTTGCAGTGACCAAGAGCAATCACAAAATGCAAATTCTGACCCAGGATTCCACACCAAATTTCTTGAAGTGCTGTCTTTCTGACTCACAACTCTCGCATAGAGGAGGTCCTTGTCATCCAAGGTAACAGCAGAGTCAGGAATTTGTAGTGCTCGATGCCATGATGTGGAAGCAATATATTCCCCCTTTAAATTCAGGAAAGAATCACTTTCATCAGCATATCGCTCAAGCCAGTAGCTTGAATGGAGTTCAGTTGTTAACTTGTGCACCGACCAATCCACTCTTTGAAGTGCTCCAAGATGCGAATCATCAAAAAGTTTGGCTTTCAGTCTCACATGATAAGCTTCTACGGCACCAGAAGCTTCTTGACTCGCTAGTGGAAGAGTTCTCATCATTGAAAGCCACATTTCTGTTTCAAACAGAAGAGGTAGAGGAAGGGGAGAGCAAAATACTAAACTAATGAGCCAGACCATAAATTTTTAAGACAATTTCATTTCATTTGTGATTTATGGTTGTCAAGTATGCATGCCACATTGCCAATATGTTCAGACAGATAAGCATTTCTGAAGCGATTCAGTGCATTGAAAAGAGTAGGAAGAACATCAACTAACCAATCTTGGGCACCCAAGAGGTTTTGAAATATTCCATGAAAGCAGTTTGATCAACAAAATCCATGACAAGTTGTTCCAGGGCGACAGATGTATTATCTCCACCCCATATGCCGTATGCTATAGTCCCAAGACGTTTGAAAATCTCTCGCTGAACCTCAATGCTACTGCATTTCTTGACAATATTTCTTAGCCATGATCTCCGAACACGCCAAAGTGAAAATACGATCGGACAGCAAAATATATCCCTGTTAAAGCAGAAAATCCTAGTAAGACAATTATATATAATACAAAGAGTTTAAAATTAAGTTAATTAGTCAAGCAGTAAGTCCTGCCTCAAAAGATCTATATCAGCAGCTGCATCATCAATTAAAAGTCCACTGACATTCCAGCCAGGTTCAACACTTCGAGCTCGAGCAATCAAAGCTTTCAGCCACTTTGACATGTCAGCCTTCGTGAAGCTACGTGTAATGACCCATGCAACAGGCAGTGCATGATGTCTTGAATCAAAAACAAGTAGTGTGAACAAAGGATACTGCAATTAAGAAAAGCAAGCTAGCTCAGTACAATACACAAAGCTCTCTTTTATATCTTTTAGAAAATAAAAGGCCAAGAACAGAAACTAATTACTTTAAGTCTTTTAATGCCAAAGGTTGAGTCAGCTGCAACAATACTATGGTGACCAAACCGGATCATTTGCTGCAACTGCCATTCTGTTTGGATTCCCAAGATAAAAGGGTCAGACTCTGAAGTGTCCTGGTTAAAAAATACAGACTTCTTATTCCGTTCAATCCACATGCGAATGCTGGCCTGATCATCAAGGTCCAGCTCATGGGTGGACCTTTTGATAATCATACCTAGTTTGTGGACATACTGAGAGGCAAGGTTATTAACTTTTGCATTAGAACCACAATAACGTTGAATTCCTTCAATGTGTTTCTCCAAGATATTTTCTTCAGGAATGCCCAGATAAATCATGGACATTGTTTGCTGCTGAATCTCATTACATATATATGGAACTTTTATGGCACCTGGTCCAATGGCATCGCCGTCAAGTGGCCCATGACAGACAAAACCTGACTTGTTAACATGGCGCCTCTCATTGTATGTGATAAGTGCAAGTGATGGACGGGCATAAAGACGTTTGACAACAAAGTGACAGGTACAACCCCGCATTGATTGAGGTCTAGCAGCACGATTGCGGGTATTAAGCCGATATCTTCTACTAGGTAATATACCTCCACCTTCCCCGTAATTTTCTGGACCAAAGGAGCACCAGTACCTTCATACATAGAAAGATTCAAACTCGATAACGTAAGTGTTGGAAACCTGAACGTGAAAACAGACACTTCCCAGCAAATCAACTATTTTTATAATATTCCGTCGCCATTCTGCTGTTGGGTGCAAACCCCAAACAATAAGTGGAGTAAGGGGAGAAAAAAGTTGGAAACTAAGAAAGCAAGAAAAGCCTTGAGAAATCAAGCATATGTTCCAAAGGCAAACTATCTGCTCATCACTGAAGGGAAAAAACTCAATGTTATTTGAATAAAGAATAACAGACATGCTGGAAACTTACAGCCTGTACTCCAGATACTCATCATCCTTGTACTCCTTCAAGCTGCCCAATGACCGTCTTCTTGCTCTCTCAAGATGAAACTGCGTCGGGCATTCTACATTTGAGCATTCACCAGTCATAAAAGAATCAACTCGCTCGTAAGGAATAAGGGCAACTTCATCATGGTGCTCGGCGTTGCCAAACTTCGTCCAAGTCAAGTCAGCAGAACAGAATTCCCCCTTAAGTGGGTCTTGCAAAGGAATATTGGAAATCGATTCAATTATAACCATGTTCTCCCTCAAACTTTTATAACCACATCTGCAGAACAAAAATAATCGAAGAGTTTCAATACGAAGTGTTGACCGGCGTCGTGTTCTATAACGCTATGATGCAGAATTGAAAAAAACTGAGTGTTCCCCACAGAATTAATACAGTTTCAATACAAAGCCGAAACCTTGATGAAGCGTAGTATATCCTATAACATTCCTAAGGAATCCATTTCACAAAGGGAGTTAAATAGTCGATTTGGCACAGTTTTTGAAGCAGCTAAGGAAAGCAGAATACTTCACGCCAAACTAACCAAGTCAGTGTCGAGTTAGAAAACAAACCCTTTCTCCCGCTAAATGAAGTGATGATGACTCTGTCTGAAACTCACCCGAGAAGTTCTTGTCAAGTTAGTTCAATACTCAGCCTCTGGAGACAGCTCAGTGGAAAAGGGTTTAGAGGATATTGAAACTTCAAAGCAGAGGTTTAAGAAAAATCCGCCATTTGGCGTATTAAAAAATAATGGAGCGGATGCTATCAAAATAATAATAATAATAATAATAATGGAGCGGAAATAAAATGGGAAGTCATTTCGTGGCAGGGTAATGTCCAGAAACGGAACCTAGCCAAAAGGCAGAACCTTGGACATTTTATTTATTTTATATTCTAGCTAGGCACAAAGGACACCAATCACCATGCCGTTTAAACGGCTAACCGTTGATGATAGATTTTTGGCGCAAAGCCACGGTCGAATGTCTTATGTCCACGGGAATAGCCGGTACAATGAGATAATAAATCGAATTTTGGTATTTATATATCTCAAAAAATAATATAGTTATATGTAAATTTTATATTTGGTCTTTTTATTTATTATATTTTATTTTTTAATATACTATCTCCGGTCCTTAATATAAAACCCTGTTTGATTTTTATTTTGGTCCTAAATATAAGACCCCAATCTATTTTGTTTCTCGTGTTTATATTTTTTTTTTTCAAAGTAATCATTCTAATAATAAGAGTTCTAGTCAATACACTTGATTAACAAAAATATTTTAGAAAAGACAACACCTAATCTCCTCCAATTAGTCAACTGACTCTTATAATTAGAGCCGGAGGTAGTATTATACATTCATAGAATTTTTATGGATGTAAAACAGAACACAATATCAAAATTAACATCTCCAGTCCAACGGACAATGTTAACGTCAGCAAAGATTAGTTTAATTAGTAAACATTTGACCCATAACTCGATTTTGCCGGTTCAAATCATACTGTCAATCTATAAATATATTGGATTGTTTCAGTGGGCTTCACTGGATACGTGGGAGTGGAAAATAGTTAGCAGCAACACATATACATTCTATATGAGACTCATCCGATTTTCTAAGATCTGTTTCGATTCGCGACTTGATCCCCTCTCCCAGCTCAATAACTGGTTCTTGGCCGCCCATTGCAATCTAATCCTTTAAATGGTTTAACAATCTGAGACAAAGCTGTTGTTCTTTTCGGCCGAGGATCCAACCGATCCAACCGTCCAAGGATCCAAGCAGTTCAACCGTTCGGTCCGGCTCCAAGAATAGTGGCACATATTATGATCTATGAAGGGAGAAAATTAAGATGAATTTTTATATATTTATAAACACAATTGGTTGGTAACAAAAAAATAATATATATAATAATCGTGCATTTAGAAATCCGTGCAAGTATGATCTTTTCTTAAACATTTTAAAAAGAAACACTTCAGTTTTTACTTGAGTCAATTCCAATATATCAATATAATAAAACCTACATTGTCGATTGCAAATGATGTGTTTTGTTTTTCATGTTCCATGTATTACATATAAAAAGGAAATATATCCAATTTAAATGATATTATGGTATCTCTGATCCTAAATATAAAATCTATTTTAATTATAATACAAAATAGGTTTTACGTTCATGATCGAAAAAGTAGTAATACGGAACAATTCTTTTCAGTAACTTAAAATATATTATAATTAAGATAAACTAAAATATGTTGTACTTGCTCTTCCATAAAAGCTCATATTAAGTGCAATAAGCTATGTCAATGAAAATAATAATGCACCGATATTTTATTTTTTTAAAAGAAATATGTGTATTATGTAATGAATTTTTTATTATATTGTATGTGCTTTCAAATTTTGTGGATGAAAAAAAACATTGAAAAAGCTATTTCAATATATACTTTAGTCATTTAACTTTAAAAAATTTTAATTTAGTCTTTTAACTTTAAAAAATATATGTTTAGTTGTTTAATCTTAAAATCATTAGCAAAACCGATAATATTAATATCTTAAGTGTTGATAAAATATTTTCGAATATTAACATATCAAGTTTAAATTTTAAAATAACTATATGATTGTTACAAAAAATCATAATTTAAAACTCATAATTTTAGGAACAAAAAAAATAAAAATATATTTTTTTAAGGTTAGAGGACTAAAATAAAATATTGTATAAAAATAAAGTACAGAATGTATACTTTAGCATGTATAATTATACAATGACAATGCAAATTTTGTTCCTTCAGTTTCCTTATCTAATGTATCCAATATTTTTCTTTTCACGTGACGCCGTGTAAGCTATGCATTAAAATAAGACGTCCATTTGTATGAGTTCCTTCCACGCATACAAATGATCGTCCTTTATGGTATAATAGAAACATTAAAAATGCAGATTTTAGCATATACTCTGATTGATTTACTCTCTGAGACATGCATGTAATGATGACAAACAAGGAACCTAATGCAAAGTCGAACAAGAAACGGAAGTCTGTTCCCTCCAAGAGCATTAATGGAATCAGAACCTAGGACAGATAAAATTAACAGCTAAATCGAAAACATTACGATTATTCACTGATTAAACCTAGAAAAGACAACAGAAAACTAGAGACTCATGTACTATACTGCAATTCCCTCTCGAAACAGATGTAGCAAATAACTATGTATATGGAAGCGCGTCATCATGGTCAACTGTCGCTGGCAGAACAACTTCCCACACCAAGAAAGTCTATAAAGGAAACACCTTTAAGCTTTTCAACTTGTTCTTCCAGAGTTGTCTTGTCTGGCATGCCTTTGATGGAATAATCCTCAGTTCTTTGGGCAAAATAGGACTTTGAGAACCTCTGAGGAAGAGGAACGACCCTTCCAATACTGGGAATTCCTGGGGCAGTAAAACTACTGTAACTGCCAAGCGAACAAGAAGCAGCTGAACTTGAGGCATTAAAGTGATCGGTGTGAGGCTTAGAAGCATCAGGAGCTTCAAAACTCAGTAACTCTGACGAGATGGTCGAGGAATCACTTCGAGCATTCCAAGGATTCAGTCCTAATGAATGTGAGGAAGTGATATCGAAGATGCCCAGGTTTCTGCTGTTTTGGAAGGTGAAGTTATTAATCCCTGAGGTAGGCCTATGCGAGGTTGAGTCAATTATAGGAATATGATTATGATTAATACTAGTGTAATTGCCGCTTCGGTCGCCAAAGAGCGTGTAACGTTCTCTCTTTCTCCTTGCCATAAGGACATGGAAGTGATTCTTGACAGCATTATCAGTTCTTCCGGGCAAGAACCTTGAAATTGCAGCCCATTTGTTTCCTTTTACCTTGTGAAGAGCTAGCAGTATTTCCTCCTCCTGCTCTGTGAATGGCCTTTTTACTATGTTTGGGTCTAGTTGGTTGTACCACCTCAACCTGCAACTTTTCCCTATGAAATAATGATCCCAAATTCAAATGCCAATTTCTTATTAGTTGAGAGTTCTTCTGGAGGAGAAAAAAAGAAAGAAAATAAAGTTAAAAATGTTGAAAGTTTAACAGAAAAAGGCGATGGAGTTGGAGAATGATTCTCCTCTCTTTAACCTTGAAAGAAAATAGCCTTGATGATCGAAACTTTTGGGAAGGTTATGAATAGTTCTATTATAATCTTTAAAAGAAAGTTATAAATAATGTCATTCATTTACCTGATCTCCCATCAAGATGTTCCGCAATGAAATTCCAGTTCTGAGGACCGTACTGCCCCACAAGCTGTTTCAGTCTCTCATCTTCAGCTGGTCTCCAATGGCCTCTGTTACAACTCTTACTCTCACTGCTACTGCTTCTGGACATTCTTCCCGGAACAAAACAAGGCTAGATGAAAGATACAAGAGGTAAAACCAGAAGAAGAAGAAAGATGAATAGAAAGAGAAAGGAGAAGGGCCTAGAATAATAGGTTTGGTGTTGAGTTATATAGATAGAAAAATCCCTTTAGCTGTGCCTACAAGATATGGAAAGTAAGTATAAGAATTAGCCAATTTCCCTCAAATTCATCACCTCTAAAAGATCCGAAAAAGGACATGTGCTTATTGTATCTGACGGGAAAATCCCACTTTCAAACATCCTCCTTACTCTGTGATTCTTCAAGTTTGGAAGTATTTTGTTTCATGCAGTTTATTAGGGGCTACATATATGGAAGTTCATTAATGTCTGTTAAAGAGTGAGTGGTTGTCCAAAACCAACTTGAGGGTATGTAAATGGAAAATTCTTTGAGCACTTAAAGGTGTACAACTGTACTCTAGGCAGACTTGGGAAGAAAACAACAAGCATTTTCCTATAAGCTTCCATGATTTGGTGTGGTGTGGGTCTTACATACTTCATGGACCATCTTAGACATGTTCATAACAAGAAATCCTAAATTTAAACCAGCAAAGTCAATTTATATTGCCATGATATTCCATTATTTAATCCCACTTGTTTTAAAGCAAGTGCCGTGAAAGTTTGTTTCTTAAGTTCTCACCCTAAGCTGTTACTGTATCCAATATTAATTGATTTCTTTAATTCTTCAATTCATGTTTACGGTATGATCAAAATCTGTTGGGTTTGAATAGAGAACCAGTGAAATGAGATTATGACAAAGGAATAAAATGTAAGCATGGAACTTTCAAATTTTAATAGATAAAAATGTCATTAATATGAGGGTTTCTTTTATATACATAAGCATAATTAAATATTCATTAATAATGCATGATAGTTCTTATGACATTTAGTCTAGTCTTTAAAAGATTATTGTTTGACTTCTTTTATAATACCATTTTTTCTTGTTCATTCTTTCAGTTCATGAATTTGAAGGATGGGGAGATGAAGAAAGGAACAAACGCATGAATGATGTCCAGATATTTCCAAAAAGAAGAAGAAGAAGAAGAAGAAGTGATTTTTAACGCTAAAAGATTAAAGACTAGTTGTGTTTTGCACCCATGCGCGTGTACACACACAAAAGATTATGCATGTGTTTGTATGTATATTATGCTTCTTTTGTGGCAAATTCTTATCCGTGTAGGTGTTAAAGAGATTCTAGACATTAAAAAAAAAATGTATTCTCAATTTCGCAACTGATTCAGATTCTATGCCCCACAATATCAAAAGGCTTAGTGCACAAGCCATTTTTTTCCCATTAAGGAAATGACCACCGCCACAAGCTCTACAACTAGTAAACTAAACACTGTTTTGCGTTCAATTGGGTGATTAATGCTTTCTTTTCAGACTCTAAATCGGATGAAGATCCTTTCATCTTTTGGAGCTAGAATGACCTTCTTTTGCAGCTGTAATCCGCAAGACTTTATGGAGGCCAACTTCATGAGTTCCCAATCCCAATAAAACAAAAGCTTCAAATGCTTCAAATTGAACCACATCTGCAATTAATAAACCCAAGAGTTTATGGGGCTGCAGTTAAACTTTTTTTTGGCCAGATGGAAGCAGTTAAACCTTGATGGAGATTAAATTTGACAGGTACATTGTGAAATCACTGTCACTACTCACTAGTAAAATTGTGCAAGTTAGATTTGATCATAAATTAACCGGGAAAAGAAACGAGTAAGTGAATGATGGAGCCTTTAGTCAGGGCAAAATTAGCAGTTTCCACTCCGGCGATTAAGAAAAATACTCCAAGCTTTTCCCCACTTTTCCTTATTTTGTTATTCTCTGATATGTCGTTATTCTTACTTCCGTTAACCGCTGTAACAAACCTTAAGATCTCACCTCGCGACTAGCATTTATAGTATTTACAATGTTGTTAGTCAAGGTTGTTTAGTTATAGCATTTGCTAGCCTATGCCATGATTATGCATATCATTATATGCTATACCAGTATTACATAGTGCACGGGTGTATTTCGTTTTTGAGGGAATCATGGGAACCCAGGCGGGATGGTTATGTGTCAAACGGAAATTAGCTGCATTACAAGGCGTTGGAATTGGACAATGTGAAAGAATCTATATCTACCGTTTGAGAGAGAGATGAGATGGTAGCTACTAGTGAGGACAAATAAGGCAGTAAATGACATTCTAAACTTAGCTGTTAGCTGATAGCTTTGCACCGGAGTTGAAATTTTCTTGCCTTTTCAATGCTAAGCAATTGGACGCAGGCAACATTCCATATTTGGAGAAATCAAAGTATGGATGGTAGGCCTTTAATTTTTGTGGTACTTCCCATTTTGTTAGTTCAGTAACATTTTGACAACCAACATACCATTCTCTATTTGCCTGCCAAGTGATCCTTCCGCCTTGCGAAAGCGACGTCTGAGCCACTCCCCAGCTACCATTTTTCTTTTTAACTTCCCAGGGGTAATAGAATAACTTCTTCCCATATTTGGCAAAATCGGAAGATTAGAAAATTTACAGGGGTCAGTAAATGTTGCAAGCTGCGCCTAATACACAAAACGATGGGATTATGTATACCTTGATTAGAAGGTCACACCATAAATCATTTTCTTACAAATAAATGCTTAGTGAATTCACTTTTGTCTTCCCAATGATCAACTCAAGCCACCGACTCCAACGTAAGGAGAAGGTTGCTGGTAATCATACAAAGCCAATTTTTATTAAATTGTCTGGGTGAACATTTAAAAAATAGTCACGATTTTAATCACATGAAAATTACATTAGTTATTTTTATATCATCAGATATTTATATCTACCATAAATGGTCATGTATGCTATACGCATTAATATTAATTAAAATGTTATATATATTAAAAAGAATTAAATTACGATCAATCCATTACAGCATGCATACTCCTTGTTCTATTTCATTTCCAATCTAGCTTTTTTTAAATAAAAAAAAAGTTACAACGCATCCTCAAATGTATAGTAATGGGTATCGATTTACGAGCCAGGAAACAAACTAGTAAAGTAAAACCATCGTATTATTTCTACATGGCTCCTCAAAGATCAGAGAGCCGCACAACTAGCTCCAGCCGGTCAATCCTAATCTGTCAGCAAGATTGTACATAACTAATTCATTCCAAATAGGACCAAAGAGGCGTTCTCCTCCAATGGCAAATGTTAGAGCCCATGAACAGAGAAGGGCAGCAAATACAGAAAACCCAACTGCTGATGCAACAACATCTGCGCAAAAAATGTCCAAGAAATTAGATCAACTGAGTACAAGAAAGGGGCTCCAAAAATATGAAAGAGATTCACAAAAACAACTCAATCTTCTCACTGAAAGCTAAAACTACTAGTAAATGCACATTTGTCAACAAATGTGATTGAGACAAATTAGTGCCCATGCTCCTCCCCCATAATAAGAATTGAATAAGTAGCTCCATGCCAGAGAATCTTCCATGCTTCACAGACATATTTTATTAAAGAGAAATTTGTTCATAAGGCTCAAACAATAACACGTATAGTAGAGCATCTCAAGCTTTTACAATATTGCTTGATTTCACTTTGCATCAAACTTTGGTTTTAAGAAAGAATGTTTAAAGTAATTAAAAGTAATTTAGCTGCAGCACATATTCTTTTATTAAAATTTCATTTCCCCCTTCATTACCAGTTTATTAACACCAAAATGGAAATCTTATTTTCCTTATTAATGACAAGACACCAACAAGCAAGCAATTTTCGGGAGCTCAAATGTGCAAAAACCCATGCATTTGTATAAACGGATAATTTCAACTACCAAGCTTTTGTAAACAAGCCATTTCTCCTAAAGGCTAAAGCAGACCAAAGATACAATTACACAGTAGATGGGAGAGACAGTTTTTCTATCTAACATAATTACTTCAAGACTAGTAAAAGGGTGAAGAAGATGTCACTTTTTACTGCTAGAATGAAACTGGACACTGATACTCGTTACTCATCAGAAATTTAGCACAGAACACGACCTCTGCTGAAGAAAGAAAAGAGCAAGGGAACAAAAGTGATCCAAATGACAATCAGGGACGAATTAATATATGCATCATATCTAGACTCCATTTCAACTTTAATCTCTTTCATTTTCTTTTCCTCCTCTTTCATTTTCTCCAAAAGTTCACAAGTCAAATAGCCAGCTCTTCACTCCAATGACGCCTAAAAAACATTGGAAAGGTTAACTCATAAAGAAAATGGCTGAAATCTAACTTGTCAGAACTCAGAAGCAAAATCCTCACAACTGAACCTTGAAAAATCAACAGTGAAATGACGGACCGAAAGAAAAAACAAACCCGAAGAAGCCAGGAGCGAGAACAACAAAGCAAAATCACCAAACTTGTAACAAAATCAGAAAAAGAATTACCAAGTATATAACAAAAGACCAGAAAGAGAACAAGGAACATACAGCGGCGAATGCGAGGGAAGGAGTGAGCGTCGCGGAGAACAGGCCAGAAGTAAAAGCAATTGACGGCCCAAAGCAAAGGAAGCAGTGCGAAACCGAACTTGTAAAATTTGCGGGCGTAACTGAGTGCGTCATCCTCGGATAGGCCAAGTGGGCCATCGATAGTCGGCCAGAGAGGAACTGAAGACGATAGTGAATTCCCGACCGGAGTAGGGTTTGGATTAAAATTGGGATTGTCGCTTTGTGATGCCTCCATTATCGAGATCACAATTCACAAAGGGGCTCTCTGAGTCTCAGACTCAGACACTCAACGCCTGAGAGCGACGAAGATCTTCGCTTCTACCGTCCTACGGAACACGAAATGGCAAATTGGAACGAGCTATCAAACTGCACGGTCGTTCGACCGGTCGACCCTGTGAACAAGAGACAAACTGTAAAAATTAAGCAAGCATTCTGGGAGTTGATCTTTTTAATTTTATCGACGACAACTTCCATTTTGAACTAAATTTATTTATTAAAAATTAAAAATATAATTAATATAATTTTTTATTACTCGAATTTGTTTTCATTTTAATTTTAATTCTTCTCAAATTTTTTATTTAAAATATTGATCTTTATAATTTAATAAAAATATGGATTATTTTATTCCTAGATGGATTAAAACTTATTATTTAAAATTTAAGGGACTAAAATTGAAATGAAAACAAATTTAAGAGACAAAAATGACATTAATTCTTAAAAAAATTATGAAAAGTCTCTCATACAAAATTTTTACCTGTGAAAAATAATTTTGTAAACTACTACTTTCTGTATATAAATCTATCAGATGTTTCTTATCAAACAAATTTTATCGTTTGTAAATCTACAACTTGTCAGATTATTTATATTTTAAACTGAATTGATGTATTGATTTGTTTATTTTCTGTTTCAAGTATTGTTTGACCGCTTATTATTATAATGAATAAACAACAATTACAATGACAACAAATATTATTATATCGAAAATCTTAAATTCTTATTTTGCCTAATATAAAGATTTAAGTAGGATTAAAAAAAAAATGCTTTTCGGCACTGGCAAGCTGTTTGATATTCTGAGGAAGGGATTCTATTCCTCGGTTTCGTTGGAAGTTAAACAGATCAATCAATAAACCGTAGTCAACTCGCTCTCATCAAACGCCATGGGGAAAAAATAGCTCATGAATCGGGGTCTAACCCTAAACACAAGATTCAAATTTTCACTTTCCCCACTAAGAGTGTGTTCGTATTCGTATTAAACCAATCTTGATGATACATGGATACGAGTAGGTACATTATACAGAAACAGACCGAGAAAAAGCTGTGGCAATTTTTTTTCCTCCCAACGCGAGTCATTCATTGCAATCCCCCCAGAAGATCCACAAAAACGTGGACCAGAAACTTGCACACTCCATTTTTTTCACACAGTGAAAAAGAAAAGTTAAACCACAGTCCCGTACCTGTATGCACAAGGGTACATTAAACAACCCCATTTAAGTGATTGCATGTACAGAGAGGGCCATCAATTTAGCTGATAGTATATCTTGATGGTATCTCAGAGGCATGATTTCAACCTCCACTTCATTCAGAAATATAATTTCCCATAAATGAACAAGGGTTCTCTCTGGTGCAAACGTTATCATTATGCAATTTAGGGTTTTTCATGGTTGAGATTTCTCCCTCATTTTGGCTCTTGCAAAAATAACTCCTGCCAGAAGACCTACAAGTTGCAGTAAAATGTGATTCAAATTGAGTTAAATGTCCTCCATGCAGAGACAATAGCAATTTCAGGTCAGTTGATGTAGAGAACCAACCGAAGAAGATGCTAGCAGAGTTCTCCAAGCTAGTGGGAACTTTGAAGAGAAGGATGCCAACAATTGACAGAGGGATCTTATTTAGCGAACCAACCAGGCTGCAGATCATAGACTAGTGATTAGATAATAAAACACTCGCATTTCTTCTATAATATGGCTTGGCACTGGAAACTAGATATAATTACAGAAAGAAAGTACCAACATTATTCCTGGGTTAAATTCCGTTAAATAGTAATAATGAAGCTACTTTTGACCACACCTGTAAGTCGTAGCTCCTGTCTGATGAAGAAACCACATGGATGTGAAGCTGATCGCAAGCCCCAAAAATCCACTTAAGGTCATCACTAACCAAAAGCTAGGCAATCTCAGAAGTGGTCTGTCAAGTAAAATTCACAACATCAATTGCCATGGATAAGGAGTGAATAGATTTTCTAGCCATTAACATGACCTAATGAATTTAAGGCAATAACGCGTTTCTGGAGACTGCCGATATATATGAGATATTGGAACATAATTGGGTTACACAAGCAGAAACACGGAATATGACTGCCTTTTCAGAATATAAAGTTAAGCAAGGCACATAATATTTCATTTACAAAAAGTGGGGCTTACGTTCTCATGAGATAATCCACCTCATTGAAAACAAAAATCAGAAGCAATCCCAGAGGCAAAGAAAGAGTGTTGTTCAACAAGACCATTGAAAACTCATTCAAATTTCCAGATTTTGTAACTTGCTTTGCAGTATCCATGACCTTGCGCAGAGTCAACTGCAGCAACAAAATAAAACAGCCAAACAATCAATTAAAAGCCAATAGTTAGCATCCATCTACATTAACACTCTAGAACAAAGTAAATTATCCTTCTATACCAAACCGAGCTAAATTCTTCCCAGTCTAGAATGTCAACGTGCAAAAGTAAAATAACAACTGAGTCTAGAAATCCTTTTCAGGCAATTACCCTGTCAAACTTCAAACATTTTAAAACGATTCTCACTAAGGATGATTAAATGGAGTAGAAGTGATGCCTGTCATTATCGGATCTAAGTAAATGGTTTAGAAGTACACATGCAGCACAGCATTATAAACAGAGAATGAAATAAACAAATAATTGATGGCTGCATATTGTGACAAGAAGTTGGAATTTCAGAGAAAAGGAATAAGAAATTAAAAAAAAAAAAAAATCATATACTAAGGAAAGAGACTCAGTATATGTTAAAAGCTTAAAAAAGGGTACATATATATAAACATGCACGCACGCTATATACTCACAGAATATGATGCAGTCAAGAAACAATTAACTATCTGCCATGCGTAGCCAATTGCATGAAAAGTGAGATCAGTTATCCCTCCAGTTACTGCTGAAATGATCTGCACAGAAAAGGGAAACTTCTTAAGATTTTCAACTGAAAACTCCTAAATGTTACATAAAATATCATGTATACAATATTGCACATCAATTGAGTCTAGCAATGTCTAAAATATGTAGCTATATTTTAAGAATCACAAAAGACAATCTACCCAATCATGTAGGCATAGTAGCACCTCTGTAAAAATATGTCAAACATGGGAGACAGAGGCAGTGACAATCCAGCAACTATTTCATACTGAATATTACTCACTACCATGCCACCATCGTAAGCTCTAACACCAAATCCACTCGAGAAACCAAAAGGAGGAGCTAATAAATAATAATATATCGTTGGAAAGGACTGATGGTTTTCTCTGGCTAAGGAACAATGCATGAACATATTTATTTTGTGCCTGAAACATAATTTATTGCACATGCTTGCTGCATCGTTTCACCACTACAAGGAAACAATATGTTGACAAGTGTAACACAAAGCATAAATGGAAGAAAAATAGGAAGGTGTAGGCAGATGCAAGCAACAAACTAAAATTTGAACCAGAATAACACGTGGAATCTGTGGTTCTGCACAAAACTTGGGATCAAATAACCAAAATCCAGTCATCACAAGAGTCATATGACAATTGACAACTAACAAGCTCTTGAACATACCATTAAAAATAGAGCAGCCCAAACTCTGTTGTCATGATGCTTCTTGAACAAATACATTTCACCAAGGGCAGTTATGACATTTGTAACATTCTTCAGAACAGTCACCATAGCTACGTTAATAAATTTCAAACTGCACACAATTAAAGAAAAAAATTAAGCAAAACAGCAAAACTATCCAAACAGGAATGATAGAGTGCCTAATTACTCTATCGTAAGCTATAATCGTCTAATTTACAGTATCCGAGTCCATAAACCAAGACTCGAGCAGATTGTAGATGTCTGGGTAATACACTTCGTGCTTGTAGTAAATTATTAGCAGCTTACCATTCTTTATGGCTTACCCGCTCCCCAAATAAGAGCAAATTTTTCTGAATATTTAAATATTGTCTCCCTTTCATCTTGTGCTAGGTTTCTCATACAATAACAATGTTTCAGACATTTTACAAAAAATTCAGATTTCAAGACTCGTTGGTACAGCAGCAAGAAGCGGTACATATGCAACTTCCATATCTAACAGTTGCCAATAAATAGAAGGAAGGATAAAAAGTAATTTGTATTTAATGGTAGAAACCCAAAACTAGGTAACTGCATACCTATACATGCTTGTAATGAGCATTCCAACAAATATTACATTAACTGGCAACCAGACCTTCACCAATCTCCATGTTAGGGGCTCTGTTGATATTAGGCCCAGAAGGCTCAACACAGAAACAATAATCACTGAAATGAAATTCTGCATTTACAGAAATTGTCAGAAGCTAGCATCATCAACATCTACATCATTAATCATTATACCAATTAAAGAGAACTATTAAAGTTAATTACCTGGTAAAACATCAACGATATCCCAGCACTGAAATCATAACTAGAAAGCACAAACTTGTTAATCAATATCATGCTGCACGAGGATAAGCAATATGCAAGCCCAGACAGTAAGGCTTGATTGTGAACTTTAACTACCCTGCCACTTGGTATAGTTCTCTCTTGGTTCTTGTCCAACTTACCACTTTCCAAGTCAAGTTCATTATTAGAATTATGCTTCATTTCACGTGAGAATAAGTATGACGAAGGAAGGAAAGTTATGAAGAACAGGATCTGGCCTGGCTTCGGAAGGAATCTAATGGATTGTCAAGGGCAACACACTGCAGAATTCTACAGAGTCTAAGCCATGGATTTTAGGCTCGACAGAAACTGAGAAATAGGAAATGAAGACTTAAGAGCATCGCGCATCTTCATTAACTCAAGTTTCGTTTTTGGTCAAGAAGAACCCATGGAGGCTCCCAGCAGTAATCGCCAGAAGAAATAGCTAAAATCAGAAAATCAACGAAACGAAGAGGCAATAACAAAATTCAGCGGATGAAGCCACAAAAGTAGGAGCTCATAGAATGAAATAAAGGAGATAAAAAGATTGGATGCACGGAACAAAGTTCAGTGAAAGGACTTAAGGTTTCAAAAGGAAATTTCGTCACAGTTTGAGAATCCAACTTCTTTGGTCGTTGAAGTTGGAGCTACCACCTTCTGTTGTCTTTTTTGATTCTCAGGTTCTCACCTCCTCGATGACAAGAAGATCCGCGGTTGCTTGGCTTGTGTCCATAATAGAGCGTTGAATAATGTTTATTTATTTCACTTTAGTTGTTGTTGTGAGCTCTGACCACGCTCATGCCAGGGACATCGAATTTCCCGTAATGCCCCTGCCATTTAATTCCATGAGATGTTAGCGGCATGTACATCTAGCAAGACAAGACAAGTTCATTAATATTTTCCTTTTTTTTTTTTTTTGCCTTATACAGGTTTTCCTACTTCTCTCCAATTAGGTCTTGTTTGTATATTGTTCACATAAGATATTACTAGTTTCGATTTTTAATATAAGATCCTGTTTGACTTTTATATTAGTTCTAAATATAAGATCTCAATCTATTTTGTCTCTCATATTTACTCAATTTTTTTCAAGATAGTCCTTCTAATAATTATAGTTTTAGCCAACATACTTGATTAGTAAGGATATTTTAGGAAAAACAACACCTACTTATTACAAATAACTAACTTAATTTCTTTCCTTAATTTTCTCAACTGACTCTTATAATTAGAACCAGATGTAGTATTAATCAAGTTATATATATTAGCTAGTTCTATTCGTTCTCATTTACATATTATGCAAATTTTATTTGTAGCTACAAAAAGTCAAAAACTCTTAATTTTTTTCTTTAAGTATACTTGATAAAATTAAATTGGAAAGCTCATGAAATGAGTTGTGAATTATATTATTTATAATTTATAAATATTATAACTCAATGTAAACTTTATATATTACTACCTCCGGTCCTTGATATAAGACCCTATTTGACTTTTATTTTGGTCCTAAATATAAGACCACAATCCACTTTGTTTCTCATATTTGTATATTTTTTTCCCAAAGTAGCCCTTCTAATAATAAGAGTTCTAGTCAATACACTTGATTAGTAAGGATATTTTAAGAAAGATAACACCTATTTAGGACAAATAACTAATTCAACTTACTTCTTTAATTTCTTTAAATTAGTCAACTGGCTCTTATAATTAGAATATAATATATTTGATATATTAATTAGTTAGCTGGTCAGATTTGTGATGCTAAAAAAATTGGAAAAATTGAAGTTACCATGTTTATAAGAGACAATAATTGATTGCTGAAACTTCCCTCTGAACCAACAAATTTTTGTCATGAAGTATTATCCTCATCTCTTTGTCAATCTCTTATCTCTGAATTGGAAGACACAAGAATTGTGTCTACCTCATGGCTTTCACGGGAACTCTCTGGCGCAACTCCTTCTCGTCTTCTTGCCTTCATTTCCCACACACCTTAAGAAGTAAATCTCTTCATTTCGCATCGCCATCGATTATTCGAGCACAGCAAGATGCTGCAGCAGACAAACCAAATGCTTCTCAGACCAAAACTGAAGGATCTTCCAATGCTCAACCTTCCGCCACTCCTCCGAAAACTCCCAAAAAGCCTGTCTATTCCAGTGAGCGCCCAACAACAAATCAAGTTTCTTTTTGCTTTCCATTTAAATTTGAGTATTAAACGGTCCAGGATGTTCCACTGAATCATTCTGTGTTTGTGGGCAGTGAAGAAAGGTCAGATTGTGAGGGTGGACAAGGAGAAGTATCTCAATAGCATCAATGTAAGAAGGAGAACCATTTTTCCTCTCTTATATAGATTAGAACTCTTATAGTTGTGTCCCTTGACATGGATGAGTTTTTCAGTATCTATCTGTTGGGCACCCACCTTACTACAAAGGATTAGACTACATTTACGAAGACCGGGGCGAGGTAAATATCAAACTGTGTTGAAACCTGACGAGTATGGACGCAATTCGTATCAAACACATAATACAATTCTCTTGTGCCATGTAGGTCTTGGACATTCGTATATTTGAAACAGGAGAATATGCACTTGTAAGTGGCTTGGATCTGACTTCAGATGTTATTTTGAGTCCACAGTTGAATTTGCCGCTTCTTTATAGTTCCAGTGAATAATGTTTCTCTGTGGGTCGAGCAAAGTCAGGCTTAAGAAACTAATGGCATGCCAAATTAAGTACTCTGTTCCAATTATATGTGAGGTTCTGAGATCTCTTCTGATAAAACTCTTGCTTCATTGATAGATCGCATGGGTTGGAATCCCCACCGCTCCAGCCTGGCTTCCTACAGACATGCTTATCAAGGTACGTTTCACATCTTCCTTCCAATGGTCAACATTTAAGGTTTTGTTTTGCTTGTTCTGTAGCTAGACATGATTCTTAAAATCACCTGCTCAACAACAGATGACTCAACTCCCAACCTCAATTCTAATAGCACTAAAAGTCTTGGGGAATAGGCTATCTTTCTACGCGAATGCATTACTGAGGTGATCTGATTCTCTGTTTTCCTTGCAGTCAGACAGGCTCATCTATGATAGATTATGACCTCTGCTTGGGGAACAGAGTTATCTTGAAAAGCGAAGACTTCGCATTTTTGTGATGTTGCAAGATGGAAAGTCTGTAAATGCTTGGTTTAGGACATCATTGCTACTTCATACATCATCTTCAAGGAAGAATTATCTAGTCATTTCAAATAGAAAGTACTCCTTTGATTCTATTTATAAATTACTTCTAATATGTTTTACACAAATTAAAAAAAAATTTAACTTTATTAACTCTCATTTAAAATTTAACAACTTTTTAACTTTATCTCTATTTAATATACATTATACCTTACGTAAATAAGATTAACACAGTAATAAATAAAGAATAAGATTGCATATCCATATAAAAAATTTCTTTTAGTACCCTATAAATAAGACAAAAAAAAACTCTCTCTCTGTTCTATAAATAGAACTAGAGAAATAAACTGTTTGAGACAATCACAATCACCCCCCAACAAAAGTTTTTGGTAATAACCGGACTGTGATTTAACAAGTTTTTGGTAAGGATCAAAACTCATTCACAGTAAGTGGAGTCATAAGAAAATAATTTAGAATGAATGAATAAATAATGAACTACATGCAAATAATATTCATCTTCATAAGCATTTACAAGTATGGCAAAACAAGCATTAAAAAAAAAGATTTGCCAGTATAAATGACAAAAAAGAATTCTCCTGACAGGTGATAAGGTTATAAAAGGCGGGGCGTGGCTTGTTACACGTAACTTTTTTTTCTCAGAAAAAATATTGATAGCACATCCTTTTTATTTTTGCCTGAACTTATTGTGCATGTCACAGCCATGTAACTATTAAGCACCCTTTCGATGGCCATAAATGCTTGCTGTTTTTGGTATAAAGGCTTGTATGATTCATCAGCGCCTCTGCACCCAAATTCCCAACAAACGAAGCAAACGCGATGCATTGCAAATAACTTGTTTAATAGGAACTTCTTTACTACAGTCAACAGACTGGCGACACCCATATAATGCTTCTGCATACGATTCCCTCCGTCTTCTGCTTATTCTTCTAAAGTATTCCAGCAATGGAGACGCTAGTTTGACAAAGAACCAGATAAGCTTTCTCGCAATCTATAAAGAATATACCTCCGAACATGCAATACAAATGATTTAGCCCCTCTTGAGACGTTTATTGCGATTCAGAAGTCCCACTAACGAGGGAAGGGGTTCAGGCACAGGAACGTTCATTAACCTATACAACTTTCTAACACCTTCACTAAAGCCTGAAGATCCAATGTTTAAATAAGTGGTACTCTTGCGAACTCTTGTCTCCTGATCCTGTGACTGCTGATACTTTACTTTATATAAATCGTTTGTGCTTTCTTGTAACTTGTCCAATTTTACTTCATCGTCCTTCTCTTGGTAAAACGATTCTTGTCCTGTATTGCTTGAAACAGTTTGCGAAAGGCCACTTGTGGGCACACTATTACACCCTCCATGAGAAAAATTAACATCTTGAAAACCAAGTCTCGCTCTGCCAAATAATGTAACAGGCAACTTTCCTGGAGGAGACACTTCTATAAGTGCCCTAGTCTCATTACTCTGTTTACCAGGTGGCTGAGTTTGAGCACATGGCTGAGGGGTCATTTCAAGCACATGTTTGCTGTTTAAAGATTTAACCAATGTACCAGCATCTAAACTTGTTTCCACAGTCATATCCAGAAGCTTACAGAGAGATTTATTCAGAGCTATGTTTGATTTGAAACAATGCCGCTTAACATAATCCAGCTCCATGGCCCTGCAGCTGGGGGTTGTTGAAACAACCCACCTAGGTGAAAGAAGTTGAAGTGCCCATTCTAATTCTTCTTTAGATGAGTGCATTGAGTAACAGACATGCCAAACGCCAAACTGATCCTTAACTGCTCCATGTGTTCTCTTTTTCTTGGTGTTCTCAAGTTCAGAAAACCTGTCTTCACAAGCATACCACTGTGCAGAAGGGCGTATAATGAGAGGCTCCGACTGGTGGTTATGCCTGGCCTCCGCAAGCTTTACATATGCTCTTTCATATAGCCCCGGAGAGCCATCAAATATATGGAACCGAGAAGATGGGTCTTCAGAAAGGATTTCAGGTGCCGCAAGAGTCAGATTCTGGAAACATTCTGGGTTTTTGGATTTATCAACATATATCTTGGCCCCAAATGTTTTAGACACATTAACAAGGATTTCTTCCTGACCGAGGAGATCACAGCTTAGATACACAGTCAATGCATTGTGATGCTTCCAAATACAATTAATAACCTGCTTCACACTGACATCAGTTAAACTAAGAGATGAAATCATCACTAAACATACACCCAAATATAAATTGGAATTGCCGAGTTGTCCCATGTAAAATGAAACTAAACATAGAATAAAGAATTTATAAACCCAATTATTATTACTTTTCTAAATTTTAGCATATGTAAATCACGTGTGTGTGTAAGGGAAGCCCGCAGACTGAAGCTGTTAACATCAAGCAGAGATTTGATGGAATTTGGGGAAAATCAATCAGTCATTCTGCTGGAATAAACTTCTATGTAAAAATTATCCCCTACATGCACGAACGACACCTGAAGCATTCCACATTTTGAATCAAGTCATTCAATTATTATTTTAAAACGCGATCCCATTAAAATTCTTTTTTGAGCTCGACAAAGAATATGCAAGGTTGGGGCTCCCAAGGATACTTGTCATACCATATAACTATTTCGTACAAAAGGCAGAAATAAACTATTTTCTATTGCATCAAAAATCAATATGTACCTCTTGAACTGCAGAATGCTTGCTAGGCATCTCCTGAAAGAAACTTCCAAAAGTACAGTCTAAAAAGACACAATCAAGTTGACACCGTGGTTCTTTTCCCTTCTTCCCAATATACTTCTCAGGTAAATTCTGTAGGCACTCAGGGCTAAGTCTGCAATCCCCGGTGTGTAAAATATTACCAAAATTTCCTTCAAATAAGAACATTACGGCTCCTGAATATCGATGAAATTCACACCAAATAAAGGATAATAAGATAATTAATCCCCGCCCAAATATTGGCGTATTCTTATTCAACAAGTAACCTCTACTCAAATCAAACTCCTTTCATACAAAAATTAAATCACGAGTCACCCATATAGTTGAAATATAAATGACCAATAATATCAAATCCTAAGGATACCGTGCAATTCGCACTGGTCAAATTAACTAATTTGGAGACATAAAAGCAACTCATTTTTACCAAACAAGAAGACGAAGAAATAAGTCAAGTGATTACAGAGAACAACAGAGCTCACTAACATATGACCCGATAATACTAATACTACCTGGGCAGTGATTCGCATCAAAAGCAGTAACAGTGAAGGCCCCGTCAGGATCATCAATAACAATGGATTGGCCCACCTCAATACCAACAAACAAGGAATCTTCAAGCTGCGAAAACAGCGGAAAATTAAATTCAAACATAGACGCCTCGAGAAACCACTAAGCATATGAATAGGTGAAAAAAATATAACAAATAATAACCTGGGTGTAATGTTGACGAACGAGGGTTTTGGTAAAATAAGTACAATAAATTGGGAATGAGGAAAGGGAAGAAATGCCAGAAGAGTGGTCTTTGTGGGCATGTGTGAGGAAATGGTGCCTCTTTCTCATGGAAGCTGAAGTCCATGTGTCCACTGAGAAAGGCAATCCTTTGGGCATTTCTATCGGCATTTTTCCTCTTTCTCTTAATTCACTTAGGTACAAGAGAAAGATGAACGAACCCCAGGAACACCGAACGAGACAATCTTTTATTCAAAAAATCTCATCTCAGACCCAGGCTCTTTCAAACCGACCATAGGCGACGACGGAACTGAGGCACAACTCTGGAGCCAAAGCGCGAATCAACGAAATTCGTAATTGGAAAGAGGGAGGGGCGGGCGGTGGGAAGAGAATAATACAGTAACTCAAATTACTCAAATACCCCTGAAATCTTCACTCTTTGCCCCCCCCCCTTCTTTTGCAGTTTTGCCTTTTGAATTGAGAAAATCGCACAATAGGACCATCAACAATGAAAGGAAATTATTCATTCTAAGACTCTCTTCATTTTTTTTCTACTTCATTTCATCTCCACTTTTATTTTTCTCAACTTTGGAATCAAATTTTGAATGGTCAGAATTTAATATCATATAAAATAGTTTTTTATTTTTTTCTTAATTATGGTTCTAGAATATTTTGATCAACTATGCACAATTTAGATTTATTTATATTCATAATTTTACATTTTAATAATAATTTTTTTTATAAATGATAAATCCTGGCTATTCATCCGACCTAAAATCTTGACCTATTTACTGTTTGAATCGCCAAATTCCTAAAAAAATTTGAGCTGATTAGATATCAAATTTTCGGAATTTATTTTTCTAGCGGTCCCCAACCATATTTTGTTTTACATTAACCAAGTAATCCTCAATTATTTATTTAATTTTCAAATGACCTTCATTATATGTCAGAAAACAAGAGTTCTCACTTCCCGCAGCAATGATTACCATTAATCCAACCCCTAGCCGCTCGCCTTGCACCATTAATCCACATTTTCTTCATTTCAAAATTACTCTTGAATTTTTGGGTAACGACCCTAGCTTTTTTATGAACTATGGTAATAAACCTTTTTAATATCAATATATTATAATAGAAATATCCTCGTTTTTGCCGACAGAATAAAAATACTTTAGTTCATTTTAAGCTGTATTATGTCGATTTCACACATAATAAATAATCCTAGAATCTCTTGGAAATTTTAACAAATAAAATAAGATTTATATAATAATTCAGGTCAAAACTGTTAATATTCCTTAAACAAAAGAAAAATGAATTGTAACATACTCCCTTCAATTTAAAAAAGATAAGTTTGATAATAGTAAAATAATTAATTTGTTATTACTTCCCTTCTCTTCCAGACCAAACAAAGCCAATATTAAAATTTCTCCCCTCTTCTTTCCTCCAATTAAGTCAAACAAAAGCAACATTCAAATTCCTTCCTTTACCCCGAATTAGAACCTTTGTCCTGGGGTCCCGGCTCAGCTAAACACCAAAACCTACAGTTTTGCCAACCAGAAAACCATAAAAGGAAAAAGGATAGTATGGAAAAATTGCTTTTTCTTTCCTTCTCGCTTCTGCCATGAACTAATATACAACATAAAAGTGTACTGTATCGGCACTTAGCACTAAGCACCTTGCATTTACAATACTCAAGTATTTGCTACAGGCAGCCAAGGTCTCCACAGTCCCTATGCATTGAACGGCCAAGGTCATTGCCTCCTTCCCTAGCCCGCTTCTCATGTTTAAAGAATCAATTAGAATCTTTAATAGGGAGTTTGTGCTTCGGATTGAGGTTAACCCAGAGTCCACCACGCATGCAAGGGAGGGAGACCAAGAAAGATTTTAGTTCTAAAGGTATTTACACTCGGTTCAAATGAGTCTCCTTCTTGGGGACCCGCCAGGTGTATGGGCGTTGTATAGGGATCTCTCATTCCAAGGATCTAAAGTGAAGGTGGCGTTTGATCTCACTGGATATGAAGAGAGATCGTTGAAATTGTAGGTATTTTGTCCCACCGTGGTGTAAGTTGGATGTGGAGGAGAAAGCATACAGCTCTTGTATGCTGATCCATGTTGCCGCAATGGACTTGAGCAGGGAGATACTGGTAAAGATGTAATCATTCTTGTGTTATCTCTGAACAAAGGAATTGCAATTATCAGGTCAGTCTACATAATATAAAAATGACGGAACATAAAACTAGCTATGATAGATAAACCAGATCATAATAATAAATTAAACAGATGCAATATTATACCTTGGGCTCCTCAATGCTCGTGAAGCTGCAAAAGTTGGCTTTGTTGCATAATCTCCATCCACTGACGTCATATTTGTTCTACTGGAATGAAGCTCTGCATGTGGCTGCAACCCAATCCAAATAAAGAGTTAGATCCAGCTCACATATCCTCACAGCTAAGCAGCTATAAATAACCACGGTAAAATTGTATAATATTCTTATCACTTTTATGGGAACCCTTTTATGTATATGCTTAGTCTATTATTCAGCTTCAATTTTCTCACACCTATGTATAAGCTTCATTGCGTGGCATCCCAAGCACTAGCTAAGGAAAAAAAAGGGTTGAGACATAGACAAGCGAATAGCTAATCTACAGACATGACAATCACCTCGTTTTTTTATGATGGACATGAGCTTAATGCCTCACTTCATAATCAAAATGAAATATTGCACAAAGAACACTTAATGGACATATAGTGTGTTTGTCATGAAAGTATTCCCCTATGATTACTGCACTTTATCTGTTAACATTATGAGAATGGAGCATATTTATCAATGGTTTAAGTTCCCATGAGTAGAGATTGGCATTTATTGAATCAAGGCAAATTAACCTTTCAAAGAACATAAATAAACATCAAATTCAATACCGGAGTCCGGCTTCCATCAAACATGTAGGGGAAAGCATCTCTGGTTAAGCTGACATTGGCAGCTCTTGTCGCAGATTGATCACGAATAAAGGGATGCTCAAGCAACCTTTGAGCACTTGGGCGAGCTGAAGGATCTCTTTGTAAGCATAGCTGTATGAAAGACTTGGCATCATTTGAAAGATGCTCCGGGATGTCAGGCATATCTTTGCTGTTTCCAATTTTAAAAATAGCAGCCACCTGTTGAATCCAACATATGAAATCATGTTGGCCTCTCATATGATGTCATAGGGTCATAACAAAAATGCCAATATAAGCTAATTGCCAAAACATCCAAAATCGCACCCCTTCATACTGACTCCATGGAGGTTTTGATGTCGCCATTTCCAGAATTGTGCATCCCAAGCTCCATATATCCACAGCAAGATTGTAGCCATTTGTATTCATAACAACCTGAAGAAGAAATTCTAAGGATTCAGCACCACTTACAATAAGAGAGAGAAGAATATGCATGTTTCTGAAGGAATCATGCAATCTCAAAGAAGGGGGAAATTTTACCTCCGGTGCCATCCAATATGGACTTCCCTTGAAAGAGAGCATGGAGGTAGAAGAATTTATCTGTCCAAAACAATTGAAATTCAGGGATGATTGTCATCATAAATCAGAAGCCAAAAAGATAGAAACTAATTGTTTTTTTAGTTCCCCAAACTAGATTTGCTTCCTAAACGTAAATACTGTGCGCTATTGTTCTAAAGACTAGAAGAGATAAGTGAAAGCAAAACATGAAGAACTCGGGTGAGTCATGTGTGAGCTAGCTGTCAAGCTAAACAAATTAAGTACAAGGTGTTACGTGAGATTAGTGAAGTTAATAGCTAGTTAGAATTATACTAGTTAGAAGTAATCTGTTAGTTCTGCTAAGAAGTCAAGACGTCCGAGATGCATCTCTATTAGCATAAATTGGGCATATATAGATGAAACTAGTGTGAATGAATTGAATACAAATGTGTTTACGTTTTCCTCTGTACCAACAAGAGTGATTGAAGCATGCGCATTTGACTGTTTAAAGTAGGGAGGGGGTGAATGTATTTAGATAATGAGTAAAACTGAAAACTATAGCCTTTCTCAACAGAAGCATGTTTAAGCAGCCCTCACAGATAGCTTTTGCAGCATTCTTTGGTTATTTTGCAGCACCAGAAGCACTACATATATACTTCTGATGCGGGCAAGAAGCAGTTCATTATTTACAGCTTAAGATGAACTCACATGTTTAGCCATTCCAAAGTCCGCCAACTTAATTTCACCATTAGGATCAACTAGTATATTAGCCCCTTTGATGTCCCTGCAAAAGGAAACCAGGAAAGTCATATGAGAAAGGGTGAAGAAACTTCAATTTAGTGCTATATATTAAGAATAACCAACGTGTTAATTTGATCCACTATCAGCGAAAAACTCCATACAGCATCTAATAAACAAGGGGACCCACTTAATCGGAGTAACTAAGTTATTTTACTTGCTGTGTGTTTTGAATTTGTTTTGATACACGGGGTCACAAAGTTCATTAATAGGATGAAAGTTTTTGCATTGACAGAACGTCAAAACTAAATCCAAAATGAATTTACCGGTGCACTGTGTTTCTTCCATGCAGATAGGCAAGTCCGGAGACAATTTGCCTAACATAATTCTGAATAACAGGTTCTTTAAATGGGCCATATTCCTGAAGTAGTTTATGGATGGAACCACCAGAGACATATTCTAAATAAACAGAAAGTGTGTCCTCTCCCTGCAAAAATGGCATATATAGTCATATAATAATATATGAATCCTATCTTCATTCCTATGGGGCATGTATCAATGCACACAGCTCAGTGCATGTCACACATGACTCTCAAATATGACTATTTAGCCATACCAGTTCACTCCCATAGTATTCAACAATATTTGGATGCGAAAGCGAACTGAGAAGATTTATCTCCTGCGATAAAATGAGAAAAAATCATAAATTTTAAGACAACTGATTGATACTTCAACGAATTAAAGCAAACTCCAATCCCAAATATGCAAAGAGCTGCAAAACTACCATAGCATGTAATAAAGAATCATCGTCATAAATCTTCAGTGCATGATGGAATTACCTGGTTAAGCTGTTTGAGGCACTCTTTCGATGTTTGATCATCAGAGAAAACTCTGACTTCTTTTATTGCACACATTTGTCCGCTTTCACTATCATTGTTGCCAAAAAAAGAAAGCAGACTAGTTTCAGCAGTTTGTCCAGTGTATGGAATTGCAAACAATAGAATTGTAATACTAATGTCATTAGCAATAAAGCAGATGTATGATGTAAATCTACTGCAGATTATCAGACAAGAAAGAACAAAAACGTTAACAGAATTACCTATTAAATCCCAGGTAAACATGACCAAATGTTCCTCGTCCTAAAAGCTTTCCTTTCTTCCACTTGGACAGATTGTTGGTAGTGTTTTCTAGAAGACTATTTATTCTTGCATTGGAGAGAGCAGAAGGGCTAGTCGGTGAACCTGGTGGTAGAGGCAATGGATGACATTCACTCCTTCCATCATCTTGCTTGCCTGTAGGAGAGTCAATACTTAGAACATGCAATCTTGGATGGAGGGGCGAAGTCGGGCTGGTGGGCCCTCTAGACCCAGGACCAGGGCTTTTTGACCTCATATTAATCTTCATATCACCTCGTCCCCTAGGATAAGATATGAAATGGATTAGTTCAGCAGTAGATTGGAGCACACTGAAAACTTGTACAGGCAAATTCAAAAATCAATGTCTCATTTCTGCTTGTTGCTTACTATAGAACTAAAAGGAATAACTAGACAATCAGCCTCCCTCCTTTTAGGAAAGTAACCACATCGTGAGAGTTCATGGAAGCCACTACGATGGACATATGTTGCATAAACGCCATCTAAAACCATTGATCCTAACTTTGGAGCGAAAAGCAGAGGTAATCGAGAGAATATCTGAATATATAAATACTCCCTCCAACCCTAAACACGGTACCTCGCAGACTTTGGTGTGGTGCTAAATATAACACCTTATCCACTTTTGTCTATCATATTATTTTTTTCCCTAAAATATCCCTATTTAATAGACCATTTTTTCAGATTTAAATGAATGAAAGCCAGACTATTAAAATTGTTGACACATTAATTACAAAAAACTAATTTAACTTCTTTTCTTATCTCTGTGGACTAGGTAAAGAGAGACCGGCGGTAGCACTACAAAACAAGGATAGGACTTGACATTTGAAACTCGCCCTCAAATTATAAATCTTATTTGTTCCCGATGAACTTGCAAGTCCTTAAAGGTAGTTGAGAACTGCCAATTGACACTATAACACGTTTGCGGCCAGGGAGGGGCGTACTTACACCAGGAGTAGTAAAAAGACCTCTTATTGCGAATTTGGCTGTCTTGACGAGAACTAAAAATACGGAGCGAAAAAAGCTGTCGGCCAGACGAAAAGGGAGAACGGGAAATGAGAGCCTGAACAAAAAGTGTAGAAACGGAATAGCTAGCTAGCCTTCTTCAGGATACTGGTTGTAATAAAAGGGAATCCCATAAGCTGAGTAAATAAGCAATTATAGTCCAACTATACAATCATCAACAGAGAGAGAAAAAGGACACTCAAGCCGAAGTTAAAGCCACTTTATTGGATCGATGATTACGGGCAGCTTTCGCCAAAAATTACTCTTTCCGAGAAAAGACCATCGCTATAAAGCCAACCGAGAGCCCAAAATACATAAAGAAGAAATCATATACGAAATCCCAAAAGGGGAATAAATAGCGGGATGGAATTTTCCGGAAACCCAACCTGATGACATCAAATTGAGAGATGGGATGGTGATCGTAGGACCCAGAAGAACTCACGCTTGAACCAGAGATCGAAGCAGATCCCAAACCATCTCCATCTCCTTGATCGTTCCCCAAGCTCTGCGGGGACGAAACCGATGGTCGAGGCAAGGGGAGGCCTATCTTCTCGCCACCATCAGAATCTAAACACGAAAATCCCGAGGACGATCCACCAACGGGAGCAGCAGCGGAGGGAGTAAAATCCCTGCTGGCTCTGGGTGAACTCCGAGAGAGCATGGCGGTTGAGACCTCGTCAAAGCTCTTAGGTTTGTCTCTTCCTTTCTTGGCACCATTCCTGATCGGTGATTTGATGAAATTAAACTGAATTCCGCCATGTGATTCAGGCTGCGGAAGCTGCTGTTGCCGCTGCTCCTCCTTATTCTTGCTGGACTTTCTTCCCCACCAAGCGGGCATTCTAAAATAGAGAGAGAGAGAGAGAGAGAGAGAGAGAGGAGAACTCAGGAAGAAAGAGTAGTTGAAGAAGAAATAGCAAAGAGAGAGGAAAAGGTGAGACTAGTTTTGTGGAGTGCTTTGTAAGGGGGAAGAAACGACGAAAGAGGGTGAAGGGAACAAAAAGGCTACAGTGTAGGACAGCTAAGAAGGTTGAGAGAGAGGGAGAGAAGTAGAGAGAGAATGAGGGGTAGGAGAAGGACGGCGACGGTGGTTGGATAAAGCGAGGAAATGACATGGCAATTTCTTAGAGAGAGAGAGAGAGAGAAGCGCATGTCTGCTCCTCCACAAGCCAGTTAATTGTAACAGTACCGGCAGTTAAAAAAATTGTGAAAAATATCTTGAAGAATTTTTAACTAATTTAAAAATGTCTTGATAAAAAACATGTGGACCAGTTTTTTAAATTTTTTGGAGCTAATGTTTTTAATTTTTTTTTAATCTCCCTCTTGTTGAACTCCTTGTAATCTTGATAAATAAAAAACTCCAAAGATGCCCACTCACAATAATTTAGCGTACTGGTTTGGTGGAATTAGTTACAATACACGTCGGTTCAGGGTGTACTCAAATAATTGAAGCAGCCCCGCTATGCACCGATCATGCATTCATGCCTTCTGCCTTCGCTACAGATATTTGTAACTACTTTGACATAGTAATTTATTTTAGTAATTTATTTATTTATTAAGTCAAAGTTTATTTTTCTAGATTTTAATTTTCTTAAAAAAATGCTTTTTATCAAACAATTGTAGCATGTCCTTTATGTTTTTTTTTAACTGACAATTTATTTGCAATTTTTCATTTGTCAATGAATACAGAATATTACAAATCGAAATGGGGTATTGTTTATGGATTTTAAACATTTGCCTTTTTTCCTTTTGAGGTTCCTACGAAGGGAGTGGTTGTGCATTATATGTACACACACAGCCACATACATATATCCACAGATATTTAGATGAGTGGGGTAAGCTGACAACTTTTTGGTTAAAAAATAGTATTTTGATAAATAAATAGATAAAAGGGTTTGAAAAATTTTAGATTGACGCTGAACCGATTGTGTTATTTAATATTTGAGTAGAGCTCGTCAATGTTTTGACTGGGTTTTGAGAAAAATTAGAAAAAAAATTGATTTTTATAATTCAACTTTGTTTTTTGACATGGCGGAAGTAAATTTTATAATTACTGTAATGCAAGGTCAGAATAACCAAAAAGTGTTATTGACTTTTTTTACCGAAAATGTAAGCCGTATAGTTTTTTCTCTTCATCGTTATCCTCTGGTAAAATAAAGAAGGGTTTAGAATGAAAGAACACGCTAACTCCAACAGTATTAGTTATACTCGAATGAACTAGTTCCTCATAATATAATAAATCACGGTTTAAATTTTTATTGAGAGAGATATTTACATTGTGCCTGCCAAAAAAAGAGAATACGGAAACAAATCTCCATCTATATATGCATTATGTGTAAATACATGTGGATTTAAACATTTTTCCTAGCATATGGCAAACAAAAATTCTTAAATGAACAAATTGAGTTATTTCCAGGATCAAAAGACGAGTCAAGCGGATGTAGCTGAATACGTTTTTGGATACACACGGCTACTTTTGTGACGCCGCGAGTAATCTTGCACAGGCTACGACATCAAATTGGTTTTGGGTCCCTCAGCAAGGTTAGGCACTTGGGTTTGCAACTAGCACAGAGAGGGGAATGCCATTGAGCGTGCGATGGGAGGCTTCATGGGAAGACCCTTGGTGAGAAGCCTGCTGGGATTATTTTTATTGAAACAAAATAGGAGAACCCACCCTTTTTTTTTAATACAATCATCTAACATTTAATTCTATTTCCGATTCCTAATATAAGAGTTAGTTAACTAATTTGAATAGATTAAGAAAATTAGTTGAGTTAGTTTTTTGTAATAAATAAATATATTTTTTCTAAAACATCTTTACCAATCAAGTACATTGATTAAAACTACTGTTATTACTATTACTATCTTTAAAAAAAATAAATATAATAGATAAGATGAATTGATATCTTATATTTAAAATCAAAATAAAAGTGAAATGAACTATTATATAAAGGATCAAAAGTAATATTATTATATTATGTTTGAGCACTATCAGCTCCAATTGTAAATAATACTACCTCCTGTCCTGAATATAAGAGCTAGTTGACTAATCTGAGTAGATTAAGAAAGTAAGTTAAGTTAGTTATTTGTAACAAATAGGTATTATTTTTTCTAAAATATCCTTACTAATCAGATTTATTAGCTAGAATTACCATTACTAAAATAACTATTTTGAAAAAAATAAATAAATATAAGAGACTAAGTGAAATTGATGTATTATATTTATGATCAAAATAAAAATCAAACAAAATCTTATATTAAAAACTGAGGGTAATAATTTTCTCGAATTCAATGCCTTGTGTGTTTTAGGCATGCTCCGTTAGTTAACTAAAGTTTCATCTATTTGCAAATAATTCTACTATGATTGCCACGAACAAGTGAAAAGGAGCCAATTGTTACGGAGTTGTTAGCTTTATAGTCCTCAAAGCTTTGTGAACTGTCCTTTTATGTCGGGGAAAAAAAAAAAAACCACTACCTCAAATGATGTGGGGAGAGTGAGAATTCATTAGTTCAGTATTGGCAAGTTTATGAAGAACAAAAGACAATTAGATCAATACAGAACTCGTCAATTGCAATAGTAAGTTTGTCCAATGCTATAAGCCTATTTGAGCAAGGAAAAAAGAAAAAGAAAAATGAAGTTCAGGGGGAAAAAAAAAATCTCCAACGTCCAGGCCCTTATGGAGAATTCAGCCTCACGGATGGTTGGCATAATTTTCCTTTTTTTTTTACGTAGCATATTTCTCATATTTACTCTCTCAAGTCTCATAAATTTAATATCGGATGCATTGGCAATGTAAACAGCATGCACAGGTTTCACATCATCCTTCCACTCAATTATTCTTTGCCTTCTCATTTGTGCATGCCGCATACAAAACAGGTATTAAAAAACATCCACAAATCCCCCCTCCTTCTAGTTTAATTCCAAATAAAAGCATGGAGGACTTTTCCCATCGTAATTTAGTTTCAATGTAAATATACTATTAATTCCACGTTAATTAGGTTTATACTACCTCATGTTCTAATTATAATACTTTATTTGTAGTCTTTACAAACGAAGTCTTATAATTAGGACTAGAGGTATTACTGCATTTTAGTTTCAATGTAAATATACTATTAATTCAACGTTAATTAGGTTTATACCACTCATCTGGAAAGTCAGGAGGTTTTTTTAATCCCACTCATAAATCATATTATTAAAATTTTAATACAAATGTATCACTTTTCTGATTCTATTTATAAGGCACTTTTAGCATGTTTCACACAAATAAAAGAAACCTTAAACTTTATTAACTCTCATTTAAAATTTAATAACTTTTTAAATTTATCTCTATTTAATATACATTATATTCTATGTAAACAAAATCAATACAATAAAAAATGACAGGTAAAATTGTACATCCATACAAAAAATTTCTCTTAGTATCCTATAAATAGGACAAAAAAATACCTTCTCTCTTTGTCCTATAAATAGGATGAGAGGAATATTTCATTATTTATTTATTTATTATCATGCAGATTATTATTTTTAAAAAAATTATTTATATTAAATACGAATAACATTGAAAATTTATTAAATTTTAAGATATAATCCATGAGATTTAAGATTTTTTTATTCTGATAAGACATGTTAAAAGTAAATTATAAATATAATCATAGAAGTTTTTTATCTACCTAAAATATAAAAACCATTACTTGTCACACTATTTCTTAAACTTTTCAAAACACTAAGACATAAAATACTACATTGGGTCTTTAATATAAGATTTTGTTTGATTTTTATTTCCTTTTTAAATATAAGATCCCACTTCATTTTGTCTCTCATATTTATATTTTTTTTAACGTAATTCTTCTAATAATAGTAGTTGTAATCAACATATTTGATTAACAAGGATATTTTAGGAAAAACAACACATATTTATTACAAATAACTAATCTAACTTAATTTCTTAATCTATTCAAATTACTTAACTGACTCTTTTATTAAATACACTGGAATGGTAATTAATGAAAATGATGGCAGGCGGAATTGAAATAGCCGTTTTACAGCAATAATTAAATTAATACTCCTCCGGTCCTTAATATAGGACCCAATTCTTGAGTTGATTTTGGTCATAAATATAAGACCCATTTTTTATATTTATCAATTTTCTCTAAATTACCCTTATGAATACTCTCTCAACCATAATCAGGTAGAAGAGGGAAATTGGGTATTAAGAAAGATGATTATGGTGTTTTAGAAAAAATGTGTCACTTTTCTTATAATTAACTAACTTACCTAACTTTCCTAATCTAATCAAATTAGTTAAATGGGTCTTACATTAAGGCCTGGAGGAGTAATTAATAAAAAGTTTTATTGGAGAGAGCATGTGATAATGGGGCGAGCATAAGGGACGTTTACTGGTTGGACATGTCATGATTGTCAACTGTCAACTGTTGGTATTGCAGCTTCTGCCGCGCTACAGCGACCTCGTCCGCACCCTTCCACACTGGTCATCCCGGGCCCCGGGCCAACTCACTCCAATCCATTGCGTTTTTTACGCTGCATTCTCCGATTGCTACCAGGTCAACTCTATTAATTTTCTTAAAATATTTATCGCAAAAATAACAATTTTCAATTTTTTTAAATTATTTTCACACCCCACTCCAAATGTGACGGGTGGCTTTGCTGATAAAATTAATTGTATTAGTATATCGCATCATAACTTTTTATTACCTCGCATCTATCTGATTTTTATGTTGATTTTAAATATTACATCTCAATTCATTTTGTCTTTAATATTTACGTATTTTTTTCAAAATAATCCTTTTAACAATGGTAATTCTAGCTAATATACTTGATTAGTAAGGATATTTTAGGAAATACAATACCTATTTATAACAAATAACTAATTTAACTTCTTTTCTTAATCTCCTCAAATTAG